ATCAAGCTAGCATGTCTTATATACCAGTGAATTTATGTTTAATTTTCGTAGTGGTAGTTACGCCACAATCTTGTTAGTCTTAAAAACTATCATACAAAGCCCAATATTTAACTTTTTTCATTTGCCCGAGATAACTCGGAATAGTAAACTGATGAAGTAAATGTTTTTTTTTTATACATAAAAAATTAAAATTTCAAGTTAAAACTTGTGTATTATGTTTTGTTTTAGTTCTTTGTATTTATTAATAGTAAAAAAATGTGTTGATTTTTTGGCATTTTAAGCGTTTAATAGCTGACTAGTTTCCATGGAAATCAACTTAAAGCGTTCCGTTGGTATTTCATCATTACAGAATAGAAATAATAACATTCAATATCAATAACGTTTTTTTTTCTGAGTTGAAAAAAAAAGAGGAAAAAAAAATCCTTTCAATTGACAAACATTCGAAACTGAAAGTTCTTGTAAAGGAAATGACGCATTTCCTTTAAATAATAATTATTTCCTGATTCGCGATTTCACATGACTTGATTACATAGTCTAATGCTTCTTTTGATTTTTCCAGTAAAAATATTTGTTAATCAAATTCTGGAAGAAAAACTTAATGAAATGTAAATATTGTTTGATTGTAAGAACTGCAAATACTGTTTTTCACTGAACTGTTATATCTTTTAATGTAAGAATGCCACGGTTAATTACAATCAATAATAAAATTCCAAACCTAATCTAGAACAAGACTAAGATTTTTTGTTGTTGTTGTTTTGAATGCAAAAAAAGTCTTCTTTTGATATGTAAAAAAGAATTCCTATGAGATACTTTTCTGCTATCTATAAATCATGGATGAATAATTGAAAATTAATGTTTGGGTCAAAAATTTCTTAAATGTGTGCTTTTCTTTCATATTTAATTGTTTTTTGTTCATGAAAAATGCTTAAAAAATTGAAATGGATGTGAGAAAAGAGTTTTACGGTTGAATTTTGAAATAAGTATTTTTTTCTTCAGAAAACTATTGAAAATTGTGTGTTTAATGAAGGAGAAAAAATGCTTATTTCGTTATGTGCTTATTTCATTTTTATGATTTAAAATGCTTTGAAACATGTAGCAACATGCACCTTATTTCACCATTATAACTTTCTGATTTTGTTTGAATATAATTATAAGTATTTTACCTGCAATTTATTTTCTCTTATCTAATAACATATTTCGCAAGAATGCAGTTAAAAAGTTACATTGCAAATATGTAAAGTTTACTCGCTTAGATATAAACAAATTAGTAAAATAATTTGTTAGTAATCACGTGTTACCGATGATACTCTTCGATAAGGTGCATCTGAAAAGAGAACAAAATGAAATTACAAAAATTAAAAAATTCTGCTCAAAAGTTATAAGACTTAGAAACTTGAAATTACTAAGATGTGTTGAAAGGTTTATAAGAATTACGATGGAATAATAAAAAAAAAAAATACTATTAAGTAATTTGTCCAAGAATTATAAACTGTTAAACTTGTTGGAAAAAATACCATACAGGCCATTCTACAGGCCACAGGAATGCAATTACACAGTTGAAGTTGGACACACTGAAAGTGCAGCAATTATTTATGCAATTAATAGTGTTTTTTTTCTTTCAGATTCTGATTTGTTCGAAAGTTATTGCAATTTTAAAATTTTTTTTTGTAAATTTTTTTGATCGTTTTTTTTTTGTTGCTCAAAATCTATAAGAAATAAAAAGTACTAAAGTGTTTGAAAAATGTGCAATAAGCTCAATGGAATTAAAAAAAAAGATTCGATTGCTTGTTAGAAAATTATTAATTGTTAAACTTATAGTAAAAAAAAATCATGTTGGTTAAGCTACTGTCCGGCTACAACTACAATAGATCGACTGTTTACTGCGACTACTAAGTTGAAATTTTATGTGCCGATAGGAGCATTTGGTATTGCGAATTTAACGAAAGGTTTGTTTGTTAAGTTATTGCAAATTTAAATGCTTTTTCATGATTCTTTTAATCCTTTTTACTTTAAATATTGACCATTCACTGTTTCAGAATTTTTTTTCTCCCGCTGGACTTTCATTTCTTCACACTGAGGTAACAAAAGTCATGAGATATCTCGTAATATCGTGTCGGACCTTCTATAGCTCTACGAAATACAGCAACTCGATTTGTCTTGGACTCAACAAGTTGGTGCAGTTCGTTCACTAGGAGTTGGCACTTGGCTCCGCCTTCATCACGTGATATTCGATGATACTATTTCGCTACTTTTGGGAGAAGGATGTGAACGATCCCGAACAAGGTTGCTATTTGGCTATAGTGTGACAAAAATGTTTAATTCGCAATCTTTTTTAACATTAAATATTTCATGATATTTCTCTCTTTTGAGTGAATAGTTTGTCCCTTTTGAGACATTTTGCAGGAAAAACAGCAGTTTTAAGTTTAAAATATATTCAATTGACTTGAGTAACGAAATGTATAATAGAATTCACTGTTTGCGCTTGGTACTCATTAAGGGTTGTCTCAATTTCAAGCGCGGTGATGTTTCTCTTCTTACTCCCGCGCGGAAATGAACTCTGCGTCAGAGGATGTGGAGCCAAGTCCCAACTTCTGGTGAACGGACTATAGAAGTCACATTTCAGGAATATTCAGTCATGCAGCCTCATTGGATGTCGATAATTGCGGATGTAGGATTTTGTGTTCGAACAGACCCCTCGATTACATCTCATAAATGTTCGATCGGATTCATGTCGGGCGATATAGGTGCAAATCATTCACTTGACTCGTCCAAAATGTTCTTCAAACCAATAGCGATAAATTAAGGCCCGGTCACATGGCGCATTGTCATCTATAAAAATTCCATAGATTTTCGGTAACAGGAAGTCCATGAATGGCTGCAAGTACTCTCTAAGCAGCTGAACATAACCATTTTCGTCAATGATCGGTGCAATCGGATCACAAGACTTAGCTCTTGCCATGAAAAAACAGCCATTGTTGAGCCACTCTACTAGATTACACAGTGCCTTGTTGAGAACTTGGGTCCATGGCTTCGAGGGGTCTGCGTCACACTCGAACTCTCCCTTCAGCTCAAACTAGCTGAAATCATGATTCATCTAACCAAGCTACAGTTTTACAGTCATCTAGGGTCCAATCAATATGGTTTAGAGTCCTGGAGAGGTGCTGGATGTGATGTTGTGCTGCTTTTAGTAAAGGCACTCGAATCGTTCTTCTGCAGTTATATCGCATTACAGCTCGATTTCACCGGAACACGTTCATTTCACATCTCGCATTGATGCTTGCGGATCATAAGTGCTGGAGGTCGACCACTACGTAGTCTATGGAGGGAGATTATGCCTGAAATTAGGTATTTTAGGCACTCTAGATCTTGGAGTGTTGAATTCCCTCTCAATTTTCGAAATGGAATATCCCAAGCTCTTAGTTCCAACTAACATTCCGTGTTCAAATACCGTTGATTCTCGTATTACGGTCATAATTAAACCAGAAACATTCTCAGATGAATAACTTGAACAAAAAATTTTTACCGCTGCCCTATATACGAATTACGTGTGCGATAATACTGCCATCTGTATATTAGCGTATTGCTATCCCATGACTTTTGTCACCTCAGTGAAATATGTAAGTTTCCACTTGAGTAGATACCAATTAAAAGTAGCAAGAGGGCAATTCCATATGTGATGGAATGACATTTTGACTTGCAAAATAACAATTAATTGAAGTTTCTATGTATCTAATTTCAAATAAAAAAACTTTTTCTCATGCATATCATTATTATTGGCATAATGCGCTTCATAAACTAAAAAAGCAGGATTTTCTATCTTTTTTACTTTTAATTTTACGAACTTTTTATTTGCGTGACGGAATGACATTTTGGCAACCAAGCTTTTGGCATGCCGCTTAGAACTGGTAGTTTCTGCGAATTTTGCAGCTATTATTTTTNAGAGAGAGAGAGAGAGAGAGAGAGAGAGAGAGAGAGAGAGAGAGAGATCTTATAAATCTCAAAATCTCAAATATAAACATAGCGAAATTTTTTGAAAAAAAAATTTATAGCAATAAAAACCATTCCCTTTTTAAAATGTCATTAAGTTTAACGAGTTAAGAATCTTCGCCTTAATTTCTTCTTATTGAATCTCACAATCTGCATTCCTTTGATTAGTTTGATTAATTTTGATTAGTTTGATTAGTTTTGATTGGTTGTTTTTTTTTTTATCAAGTTCAGATGATTGTTGTTTAAATCTAGGTAATCGTCTATTTTGTTACTGTTAGCAAAATGTCTTTGTACAAATTTAAAGTAACTATATTTTGAAATTATTAACATTTAAGAAGAAATATGATGCTTGAGAATCAATTACGGGGTTAGCCAGCGGAACGAGCAGGGGATGGAGCCTCTCATTAAAATGAAAAAAAAAAATGTATAAGGCTTCAGAAGTATGAGACATTTTATTATGCAAGATAAGTAATCGAAAAATTAAAATAAGCATGATATCAACCCTGTAAAAAATATTTTTTAAAATAAAAAAAACCCAAATAATAAAGAAGAAAATGCATTTAAATCACTAGCATGAGAATTTAGTACTTCAGTATCAGTAATGGAAGAATTAAAAGAAGCACGATTTCAACTCGATAAACAATATTTTTTAAAGGCATGAGATATCAGAAGTTTAATTTTCTTTTTGCCCTTAAATTTTTGCAACCTATTGTATCACAACATTCTTAAATTGCATGTATGTTTTTTTTTTCTATTCTAGACTAGTTATAAATGTTTGCTCAAATACATTTCGAATCTTCTGTCTAGGACGTGATTATAGTATTGAAATGTCTGGTAAATATAGAAACTATGATTAATTGAAAACAGGTGCAGATTTTTTTTCTAATGCATATCGAATCAAGAATATTGTCGATCTAGGTCGTGATTATCATATTGAAATGTCTGATGAATACATAAACTATGCTCAGCTGAAAATAGTTTTTGCTAAGCTGAAAAAATATAATATGACTCTATATAGGATCTTGCAAATTTTAGATTTCATATTTGAAGTCTTTTAAGGTTGCAAGAAACATACTATAATTAAATAATGTCCGCCTATACTTTGTTAGCGTTATCATTTATGCTATATGTTGGATGCTTGGTAAGTTATTATTTTTCTTAGCACGACAGAACTTGTATTTTTTACATTAGCATTTGTAAAAATTCGGGATCTGGTTTAGTTAAACGACAATAACTTCACCAACAGACCATTTCATACAGTAGGTCATTTCGTTGACAGGATCGTTTTGTTGACAGGGTCATGCGTAATTTTGAAACTATTTTTAGAGATTGCTTGTATTTCCTCGTAATTTAGTGTATTTTTTCGCTAAATATTTTTATTTAAAAAATACTATTATATAATTTTTATACTAAAGTAAAAGTTTTATTATGTTACAATTGCAATAAAAAAACAGGTTTTTTTTTCTTTTAAAAATTTGATATCGCTCTATTCTTTAGCTATACATCCAGTTAAAAAAAAGAAACTTTTGCGTGCTCTAATTATATTTTTCAAGTATTTATTTCTCAGATAAATTGTCTAATTTTTAAAGTGATTATGATTAGCATCGCAAAGGCAATTGCTATAACTACAGAAAATGATTCTTGATATAGCAAGTGAATAAGAAAAAAGAACAAGGAGCAAAATGAATTAATGAATCAGAAAAATATTGAATCCTAAATTTCAGAATAATGATATAATTTTGGAACTGAAAATTATATTTTTATTTCGTTTTTCAAGTAAATTGATAAGTGTTTAACCGAGAACAGTTGATGTATCAAAATCTACTCTTTTATATCTAAATTGTAATAGAACTACAATTGTTTTCCTGATAGGTAAGAATTGTCTTAAGAGTATTACTAAGTATGATATCCAAACCGCTGCCAATAGCCCTTTTTGGATCCAATGTGGCGTTAACTGTCAAATTATTTTTAACATCAAATCAAATAATTAAAATATGATAACGTGAAAATTAAAGGTAATAAAAATATATTACAGCGAAAATTTGGAAACTATTTCAAAGGGGAAAACTCAATTCTTCGCTGTAAAACTTTTAAACACTTTTTAATTATACTTTGGTAAAACAATGAACTTATGTGTAGTTCCCACAGCAATGAAAATAACCGTAGGCCTTAAATAAATTCCATGCATAAGTAAACCGATTCACATGGTATCTTGCGATTAAATTTTTAAAAAAAAATGTAGTTTCAAAATATATAATAGAGTGTTTAAATGGGGTTAGAGTTGACAAATGGAATATTTCTGATGTTTTACTAATCAAAAATTTTCTGTTTTGGCAAGAGGGAAAAACTGTACCATAAGCACAAAATTGTTAAATAACAACAAAAGCAAACAAACTAAGTTTTGATGGTAGAAATTTTTTTTTAATACTTACTTTAATTGCAATTTTAAACTTTTTATTCAGCTTCTTTAACAATAAGACAGGTTGAATGAGTATGCTTAATTGAACATTCGATCTAAATAATAGAACTTTGCTTTAGTTTCGTTACCACTATTAGAGTTTTCTACTATAGGAACGCAAATACGATGTTTAGGTAGTTACCGAGGTGAAAGTTGTAGATTCCTACAAGTGCGACTAACTGGACCAAAAATGTTGCGAAACACTATCATAAAATCATTATAGCGTAACAAGGGTGTTTCTGCTTTCTATTCAAAAACGTTTTTTCTTCTTCTATGGATGCTGGAATTTAAAAAAAATAAATAAATAGTGAATTAATTCCTTTTTATTTGCTGGATTTATATTAGACACATCTTATTTAACTAAAAATCAAACCTGGAATTTAAACGTAAGAATAAGTAATTATTATTCTACAAATTTCTTTTTGCAATTATAATTACGACCATGACGAAATGACCCTGTCGACAAAATAACCCTGTCTATGAAAGGACCATGCCGACGAAATGACCCTGTCGATTAAATAACCCTGTGATAGCCTAGTCGATGACGAAATGACCTAGTCGATTAAACGATACGTCGATGAAACAGCATATCGATGAAATGATTGTCCCTGAAACGAAAGCTATCCAAACATTTGATACTGGAAAGTTTTGAGCTTAATGATATTATAGAAATTATTAATTCTCTGAAATCTATTATAGTTTGTTAGAAACCATTAAATTCGCCGAAAAAAAATTCAGTATTTAATTTATTTTTTAATGATAACTTAAGTCCGCTAATTTATTTATTAAATTTAACGCAATTCAGTAGTTTTGATAACGTAGTTTTAAAAATATTTTTATTGAGATATTTAGTTGATCTTATAAATGTCAAGTTTAGAAATAATCAAAGGTCAATTCTACGAGTAACTGACTGACATCCACAAAACAAAATAATAATTATTTAATAAAAATTTTATAGTATAATTTTAAAAGATTTTTTTCTGTGATTTGTTATCTTATTTTTCAAGCTCAATATACTTGTATAATTTGAATTTCAAAATAATTAATGAAAATTTAAAAAAAAAAATTAAACACTTGATAATTGACTGATATTAATGCAATCAGCATGACAAGTTATATTGATTCAATAAGATATTTCTCTAGAACTAAAATTAATTTTAAATTAAGTTACATTAGATCTTATAAAGCAACACTATTAAAAACTTCACCGAAAAAATGGTGAAATAGCAATTTATTTAGTTGCTATTTTACCCTATCCAATTAAAACAGTCTAATGATCGTAAATAAGTTAACAGTCCAACTGTTAGCTGTGAGAAAAACCGTTTATTAACTGCCTTCACCTAATACGGTTAAACAGTGTAGCGTATCAAGCTATATTAAAGAACTGTTCAGTTTTTTTTTATAAAACTTTTATTCACAAACAACACAAACAGTAACAAGTAAGAATTACCCGTAACGGGATAGTGAAAAGATCATAAAACAACAAGAAAAAGTGCCCGTAACGGGATATATTAAAACTCACCCGTAGCGGGATAGATAAAATTTTATAAAACAAACTATATAAAGTGCCCGTAACGGGATAAATGGAAACTCAAATTCCACAACAACTCTCTGTTGTTCTAAAATGGTCTTCTAATTTTATCGTCTGCTTTTATTGAGTATTGAGTATAGTTAAGTACGGCGAGCTCTCTGCTTATCGCTTATAGCTCTGCGTCTGCTTTTATTTTATTGTTTATCTCTTTATCTGTTTATTTTATTTTATTTATGCCTTTGCAAGCCTGTTATATTTTAATATTTTTATTCATGTTTTTGCTAGCCAATTGGGTATAATATGAAAAAAACACAACTACTTCGATTTAGTAGGAACAACATATGACGCAATGCTAAACGAATGGAATTTAGTTGTTGTTTATTTAGTTATTGTTATTAGTAATTGTTGTTATATGTTTTAGTTGCTGTTGTTCATTTAGTTGCATTTAGTTTCAATAACTTTGCTTTATAATGCAATGAAATCTGGCGAGCAGCTATTTAAACGATTGAACACTTCGTTTGTTTATTTGTGGCTTGAAGTTACGCTCGCAGAAAATGCCGTTCATGGGTTAAATTTAGTAGGAACAACACAACCCGTGACGTAGGCTATATTATACCCAATTATCTTTTTTATATTTTTAGACTTTATAACAGCCTGAATTTTATCTCTCCAACTAGGCTCACCTAATGAAGCCGCTTAGTAACTTAAGTTACTTAGTAACTAAGTAACTTAGTTTTTCTAAAAATTATATCAGAAATTTCTGTATAATTTTTCAATTCCTGAAATGTGTTTATCATGGTTTAAATTTAATACGTGGCTAAGAACTGTAATTTGTTTTAACAATTGTTTATTACTAAGATGCAATATGTTTATTTAGTTCATGTTCGTAATCAATAAAAGTATAATATTTGATGTATAGGTAGAGGCACGAAAGAGTTGTTATCAGCAATTGGATTGCAAAGAGACGGAATGTTGCTGTAAAGAAGCTTTCAGCTCGAAAGCTTATTGCAAGAATAAATTACGATTTAGTAAGTTCATTCCGTATCAATCTAATTTCGTAACAAATGCATAATTTAGATAGCTATACTCTTTGAATACTGTTGTCTTTTCTTAAAGATCGTCCTTTAAAACTATATTTAGAATTCTTATAAGAAATGAAGACACAGAAAAATTAATACACGTGAGGGGTGAGAATTAAATATTTGAGTAAGGAAAAACAAAAGTACTATTGAAATCGGACGAATCACAGTCAAAGAAGGCGGGTGAATGAAACATCAAAACCTCTTTGATTACAGTTATAAAAAGGGAGCCATGATGACTCAGGGGATAGAGCTTTCGACTTCCAATGAGGTGAACCGAGTTCGAATCCGAGCCATGGCTGGTAGATACGAATTCCGCATCCGGCTTGCATCGACCACAGGGCTGACGTAAGATATTTTCAGTGGTAGACGGATCATGGATTAGAGTACCCTTGCCGTTAGGCTACCCTTGGGAGGTTTTCGTGGTTTTCCTCTCTATGTAACGCAAATGTGGGTTAGTTCCCTCAAAAAGTCCTCCGCGAAAGCAAATTGCCCCCAATACTTGATCCAAGAGTTCCCTTGTCTTCTGAATTGGGTTTAAAATTACAAGGCTATGGAGTTGAACATTAGTAGTAGTAAACCCAAAAAATTGGGTCGGCTGTTCAACAATGGCTACAAAATATAAAATAAAAAGTAATAAGAAGGAGTTGAAAAATGATTGTTGGAAACATCTCCAAGTTTAAATCGGTCAATTGTTCTTCTGACCCTTCTCCCTTCATTGAACTGTGTTAGATTTCTATGCATTTTTGTTTCTTCCTCGTTTATAATATGCGACCTCCAATGTGTATAAATTTCAGTCTAGAGTTTTAGTAAGGATTCAGAAAACGCATAGAAGAGATGTCTTTACGTAACATGCTGTTAAAAGTGGGGATGGCAATTTGGTTTACTTGCACACTAAAACAAATTAATCGTGATAACTAAATTTAAATAAAATAAAATTGAAAAAAGGCATTTAAAAGTTGTGATCATCTTATTACGATCACTGGTTGCCCATTGGTCAAATGCTTTTTCTTTCTGGATTGACTCCGTTAAACAATTCAAATCATGGGTTGCAAAAACTGTCTCAATTGATGTTTGTCGTCAGATTGGTTTTCAAATCCTATTTATGTACGTGTTTCAAGACATCACAAAATACTTTTCCTTCCCTAGCATTCATATTTATACTGAAATCACCGTCAAGCCAGTAAATATACGTTAATAATAAAAAGAATATAAAAATACTTAAAATTATTATTATGTAAATGCATAAAAAATGTCTGATAGTGAAAATAAAAAGAAAAACATCAGCGGTCGCCATAGCAATGCATGCTATGACGACGCATGCTCACTGTTTACTATTACTCTTGAACACAGTTGAAAAGTGTGTGAACGCCATCAAATCCTAACCAAGACCCATTTTGTCAATGGGTAATAACAAATCAAAGCAGTTAGCAATTTTTGTTTTTAAGTGGTTCGTTTTTATACCGCGCATGCACAAGAAACAGTAAAAAAATCTTTTTTATATACACTCTATAACAAAAAAATCGACGCTCCAAGAAGAAGTTATCCGATTGAAAATTGGTGGATAGGAAGACAATGTACAGAATAGTAAATGATTAAAATTTCAGAACAATTGAATAATTTATTGCAGAGTTACAGTAAATAGTTCAATCAGGTGTTGACCCGCCTCTAGCATGGATACAAGCTGCCACACGGCGTGGCATAGACCGATAAAGCTCCCGGATGATCTCTTGCGGTATTTCCTGCCAAATTCGATCCAATTGTCGAACGAGGTCATCATCATTCGGTGCCAGATGCAATCGCCTTCCCATCATAGAGAGAGATCTGGTGATCTGACAGGCCAAGGAAGAGTTTGACAAGCTTTCAGACAGTTCATAGCAACACGTGCCGTATGTGGTCTGGCATTGTCCTGCTGAAAAACCAGGCCATGGCGCTGCAAAAGAAACGGTAGCAAAACAAGTCTTAGGATATCGTCGACGTACCGCTGTGTAGTAAGTGTACCTCTAATGACGACCAAAGGGGTCCAGCTGTCAAGGGAAACGGCACCCCAGACCATAATGCCTTGTTGAGGGCTGGTGTGGCGTGCAATAGTGAAGGCAGGATCCCCCCTCTGCCCTGTGTGTCTTCAAACGCGTCTTCGATGATCGTCAGGATACAGTTGGAAGCGGGATTCGTCGCTAAAGACTATACGTCCCCAGTCGGCATCATTCCAGCCTGATCGAGCGTCGATTTTGCTCGTCTCAGTGCATTCTTGGTGCGTCGATTTTTTTGTTATCGAGCGTAATTTTGCTGTGTTAAAATTTAAAATCTGTTAAAATTTTGTTTAATTTTATTGAATAGTTTTAGAGTAATAGGAAAACACAAGGCAAAAAAAGTAATTTATTATAAAAATGCCCGTATCCACATTAATATTTAAGCCAGGCTTACGAAATTTTGAATTATTGTATATAATAACTAAAGTAATTGATACAAGTTACATGCTTATTGCTGTATTTTTTTGGCATAGGGTATTCCAAAACATTCTTTCTCTTTGTAACAAACTGCCGGTCCCTTAAACATTTTAAAGCTTAAAGTTTATTGTTATACATGAGTAATCGCATGACCTAAACACTTCTAAAGTTATAAAATGATTCTCTAAGTATTTCCTGTGAGCTTAAAAAAAATTCCAAAACTTGAAAGTGTCTCATTTATTGTTGTTGGGCAATGTATCTACTTTTTATCTGATGCTTGTATTCTTAAATTTGACGAGGGCTTTAAAAGATCTTGTCAAATCGTGACGAGCCTTGTAATTGTAGCAAGAACTCAAATTTGAATATTATGTGAAACAATAACTAAATAGGTCTATCCAAAGTTACTGTGAGATTCGAACCAGATACCTTAACGTTTTAGGAAGTTGGTACAGCCCGTTATTCAGCAGTTAAGTTATGAAATAGTTCAGACTCGTTCTGCCATTCCAAAAACTAATTGATTAAAAGTAAAACTAACAAGCGTTTACTAAAAAACATACTAGATATTTTTGTGAAAAGTAACCACTTTTTTGAATAGTGAACTCTTTTTCGCTACCTCAAATTATTCTAGAATTGTTGAAATTTCCAAAATTTTTGGTAGAATTTTTTTTCACATAAAAAATTCACCAAATTTACTACCAAATACCGTTTTGTGTTCCCATGGAGCCAAAATGCACGTTAAAATTTATTATGTTGTGATAGTTAGTTTTGCTCTAACTTTTTTATGGTAATTGTAATTATAGTACTATTTGACATATTTTATATTTTCAAGAGTATATGAAATTTTATTGTTATCAAACTAGCACGAAATTTCTTTTTTAGTATTAATTTTCCTATATATATTTCTTAAAACGCATTTTTTATTGTTCATTGCTGTTCAGCTGAAATGGTTTGAATTGATTTTTTTTCAAATTATTAATTAATTATAATGAATGAAATAATTAATTTTTTCATGATAATTTCTAGGGGAGAAGTGTATAGAGGTAGAATACATTAATGGGATCTATGAATTCATATGTCCTTGCTTCGGTGATTTAAAATGTACTAAAGAAACATCCATCGATTCATCTGGTGTAAGAATGTTTTATCAATGTCAAAGATTTTTGTATAATTTATTTTGTTCATTTATTTCAGTTTATACAGTAATTGCTTACGGGCCATTGACGCATCAAAATTGTTTATTGGTTAGGTTTAAATTTTATTAAGCATTTTGATAATTTAGATGTCGTTTAAGTCTGTGCTGTATTGTTTTACTTCATTTAAAAGAAACATTATTTTCAATTGAGAACACCATTAACGTTGCTTTTCGGACTGTCTGTTCTGTTTTTCGGAAAATTCTGTCACCAAGGAAAATATAATAAGCCGTGGTTTAAATGCCCTACACTTGCATCAATGTGATGATTTTTAACTATATGCATCACCTTCCGTAAAGTAATATGTGGGTTTTAGAACAGATAAATATTTTAAAAGTTATTGTACTTAATTAAAAATCTCCAATTTGGCGACGTTTTTCCACCTAGATGAAAATCACAAAATTTGTGCAGTCACTTTGACATCTATGATTTGTTTTTCAAACATCAAGAAAGTGATTAATGTTTGAAGTGCATCGTCACTAAGAACCAAAAAATGAGTTGTCTATAACATTTATTCCGACAAAATTATTTAGATGATAAAATGTTTTATTTGTAATGTATAGAGGTCAAAAATCACCTGGAGCAGTTTTCTGCCAGAAAAGAACAAAACTTTTATAAGAATGGGATCAAACTAAACTCTACATAATTAAATAAAATATTTACTCACTATAAGAAAATCGCTTTTTATTTTCATTAAAAGAAAAAACGAAATTACTTCTTGAGCAACTCAATTTGTTCAAAAATTAAAATCCATGACACGAAATGCTACTCAAAAAACTTTGTTTATATTTAGAAAAAATAAACATAAAAGGTTTTCAAACTTTGTTCTTATAACTACAAAATCTAAATTTTATTTCTTAAAAATTTTATAAATTTCCTTTTTAGAAAACTCATCTAAGTTATAAATTAGATCAAAATACTAATTAAAAAAAAATTTTTTTTCATAAATTTCCTTTTCAAAAAACTCATTTGAGTTATTAAAATAGATTCCATTAAAATATCAATTTAATATTTTTTAAAAATTTTATAATTTTTTCTTTTTTAGAAAACTTATTTAAGTTTTAAAATTAAAATTCGAACAAAATGCTAAATTTATAAATTTTAGAAATTTTATAATTTCCTTTTCAGAAAACTGATTTGAGTTATATAAATTTGATCAAAATACTAAATTTTCATTTTTTTGACACTTCTATAAATTTACTTTAAAAGTGATTAAAACAAATTGTAGAAACCTAACTGATATTTCTTTTTGGTAAATTACAAACTTCTGATTTCTACCTCTTACATTGTTTAAATTTTCTCCACTTATTTACATCAATGATCTTAGAAAGATCTTCGAGATGTATCTTTCAACTTCAGTACCTTTCAACTTCAGTATCTTTCAACTTAAAAACCTTACTGATATTTCTTTTAGGTAAATTACAAACTTCTGATTTCTACCTCTCACATTGTTTAAATTTTCTCCACTTATTTACATCAATGACCTTAGAAAGATCTTCGAGATGTATCTTTCAACTTTAGTAGATGAAAGCATGTATGCCATTGTTTTGGCAATATTTCTCATTGAAAAATTTACAAAACTTCAGATAAATATTGGTTGAAGTAACATACGATAATATGCATTGCTAAAAATATATTTTCTAAGATATTTTTAACATTTAATTGAGCTTTATTATTTAAATTATATTTTTTAGTGCTAATGGTGTTAAAATAATTAACTAATCTAAATGATTACATTTACTACAGGCAAATTGCAGTTGTTTATTAAAAATTTGTTTTCAAAAAATTAAACTACCTGAATAATTTTAGAAACATTTTCTTTGCAATTATACAAAAAATTAAGCTTGCGAATTTTTATCTGAAATTTAAAAAATTTCATTCGAATTTCTATGTTGCTAAGTTGATACGAAAAATCTATTTATCTAGTTGATGTGAAAATTTTCGGTAAATAAAACATTGTATTTTGCATATATTTTATAACATTAGTTAATCCATTTCTTATTCATTACCTTTTTATTATTTGCTTTTTAATATAATTTGTTTTTCTCTTCTCCTTTTTTGTTTTCGTTTCAGAAAAAATTTATTGGTGGAAATACCATTTGTTTGCCAACGCATTATCGACCTGAAGAGATGAATGAGCAAAAGAGCTATAATAATGAAAAAGCTGTATTTTAAGTTGTTAAAAACTATTTTCATCTTTACGAAGTTTGTTTTAGTTTACACGAAAAAAAATTTGCAAAGACGTTGGATTAAGGTTACAGTGAATATTCAGAATGGAAAAACGATATCTTTAATATTGTAAAAACTGTAAATTAAATTGTTTATTACTGTTTTCATGTTTACGAAGTTTGTTTTAGTTTACACGGAAAACAATTTGTACAGACGTTGAATTAAGGCAACAGTGAACGTTCAGAATGGGAAAAAAAGATATCTTTAATAATGCAAAAGCCGTAAATAAAATTTTTAATTACTATTATCATGTTTACGAAGATTGTTTTAGTTTACACGACATTCCGATTTTTTTTGCGTTGAATCGAGTGACTAAAACTTTTGAAGTTATTTAGGTTTTATGTATAAAAGTTTTTTTACTTACATTTACGCATCTAACATTGTTATCTAGGTAAAAGAGGTATCGTAACATATGATTATCATTACGCTAAATTGAATGAGAATGAAACCAAATTGTTTAATTTAATAGTTCAGCAGTTATAAAAAGATTTCATCAAATATTTTGTGTGTAAAAAGTGAAAAATATTTTGCTAATACCAACTTACGCAACTGTCATTGCTATTTAAACAATTGAGGCATTACTCTTTAAATTTAATTTTTTACGCTGATACCAATTAAATTAAAATTAATCCTTTGAACTAATAGTTAAGAAGAAATGAGGGTTTTTATGTATGAAATATGCAATTTTTTCAAATGCAGTACAGCAGTACAAGTACAGTTATCTGGAGTGCAGTAGTTCAATTATCTGGATCATTCATGGATCATATGTTCTTTTCATCCTCTTCAAAGATAAATAAATGAAATTTAAATAAATAAAAAAAAATCGCGAAATTTTTATTTTCAGAATGTCTGAAAGGGATCTAAAATTGTTCCTGAAATTGATTTAAAATTGTTCCCGCGGTTCCTTTGAAACGAAACTCACATTCTTACCGTAAAAATCGTGCGAAATTCCGATAAGTAAATTCTCCAGACGCATATTTTGAAAAATAGTTTTATTGATTTAAAAACACATAAAATCACGTTTCTGAAGTATGAAATTAAAAACCATTCGATTGACTTTAATCGACAAGCATTCCAAAACAAAAGCGTAAAATCGTATTTGAGTAACATTTAAAAGCTTTTGAAGAAAATTCTTTTAGGTATTCTTTGACCTAAAATGTAATTAAATTCAATTTGAGAAGTATTTTAGTGAAAGGTAATGTCCATTATACCCAAAGTCATTGTTCCATGCTGTGACACAACATTCATCACTTTACTCAAAGTTTTATTTTAGTCAACAACAATAATTGATAAAAATAAAACACTTTTCTGAGCGAGCATAATTTGCTTTTGTTTCAAATTAAACTGATAATAACAAAATGTTCTTATAAAGTTTTCCCTCATCAAGAAACAATAAAAGAATATTTAAATATTTAACCATTTAAAGCAATGAACTCAGTTAAAAACAATAACATAACTACATATAATGATATAATTGAAGTGAAAGCACTTGGTGCCCGAAATCGGACTATTAGTTTTTAAAAACTATTTCGCTGGAAAATAGTCAGAGTTTAAAAAAAAAAATAAATAAATTGTGTTAACTCTCCTCCCAGATTTCTTATTTTTAATACAAACATATTTTAACAGATGGCACTGCGAATAGCAAACCTGTAAATCGAAGAAAACTTTGAAACCACATCACATTTTTTCGAGATTTCTAAACAAATGAAAACAACGTTATGACTTTTCACATGTCTTACAAAAATTACATGCCACAAAATTCAATTTAAAAAGGACTTGCAGCCCGACTGCTAAGAAAGCATTTGATGTAAATACAGAAATTCTGGAGGAAATACTTATGCTCTGTTATATAAATTTGGTGCAAGAACGTTTTTTTATAGTTCTAACTGTTGAATTATTGAAAACTGCCAGTCTAATTAAGGAAGTTAAACCGATCTAGTAAGTGCAATAATTTCAATCTTTAAGTAGAGATGCAAAATATAAACCAATTTTATGATCTGAGGAGAAAAAATATTTCGGTTATAGTTGTCAGGCTAAATATAAAAATTGTTGAAGGAAGAAAATCATTATGAATACGAACACACTTTTATTAGTGCACTCCAAAAGATATAAATCACTAAAATTTTTATACTTGGTCAACGCTAATTATTATTTGTCTTAAAGACTTCAATGTTAATAATCTACAAAAAAGGACAACTATTTTGAAAACAGTTTAATTACAATAAGTTTTCACTATAACTTTTTAAATGACACGTAGTTTTCTTGTTTTCTAAAATTGCCTGATTGTAATTTATACCACGAAAATTTAAAAACTATTTAAAATGCTCTAGTTCTACATTTTTAGTTTTCAGATACGTGTAGAAACAAACTGTTTTTTTTTTTTTTTTAAATTAGTTTTACTTGTACTTGATTTAGGAGCATTCACTTTTAATAAATATACAAAAAAAGTTCTCGATTTATCTACGTTCTATGTAGTCGTCCTCTAAATGACCATCTAAAATAATTTCCTGGTAATTTTGAGACAAACTTATTCATATACGTATTAAAAATTCTGACAGCAACAATATCCCCTCCCAGTAAAGACCTGATAACTGCTTCTGAATTCGAACTTTTTTCGAACTCTTTGGTCAAGTTGTATAACATACTACCAGTTAATGACTCGTAAACCTTGAGTGGTTCAAAAGGGAGATTCATCAAACGGTTTAAAGCAACAATCTCTAAAACACACGTCTGAAATTGACTGTAATAATGAACCACGCGTACATCAAATGGACTATCCCGACTAGTGACAGGTTTTGGTACGTAGTGCTTTAAATTTTCAACTATTTTAATAGCTATAGGTTGTGATATGTTTTTAATTGATCCTGCTCTGTTTTTATTTGCATTTGCTTGTAAAACTATTTCTTTCAACTGATAGTACAAGATACAGAGTAAAAGCGCAGATACGAATTCTTTTGTTGGTTTGGGTTCGCTGTTTAAAAGCCAGAATTTTATGCAACCAAATAACAAATGTAAATGGTTCGGAATATTCAAAAAAAAGTTTTTATCTACTCCTAACACACTAGCAATAAAATCTCGCAAGTGTTCTTTTCGCATGTGATATATTTCCGTCATTTTTGGTACAGGTTCGCCGCTTTTCAGCGCGGTGAGAAATTCCACACGTGCTGGGAGCACACTGTCATTTTTACGATCATACTCTTCTATTTGTTGGAGACAGTTTTTAGCATGGCGTTTAGAATTATTCGGATCATGTGACAAAAGTATTCCATAAATTACTTGGCGTATATATCGAGAGCAAGAGTAAGAGCTGTCATTCGAAAAGTTATCAACTTGTGGAGATAGAAAATTCCTATGTACACTAATGATATTTAACAATGTAGATGGAATGAAACCCTTATGGAAAGCGATAACAAACTCTTTTGGCAACGGTTTGCCACAAGGAGTAGATAGTTTCGTTTCGTACACAATATTCTTCTCTAAATTTGAACTTATTCCGTCTACAATGTTCACCATGTTAGTGTGTTTCACTTCATAATCCTCAAGGGAATTTTCAATCATAATTTCAATGTCATTCTTTTTTCCGCCAGTAGTAAACCGTAATACTTGTTTTATAGCCTGTTCTAAAGTTTGGCGACGTAGCCAAGCAAATAGACCGTAGAATTTCCTTTTGGATCGAACATTTATTTTATAATAAAAATGTTTGAAATCTTCGTAAGTCGAATAATCGTTTCCCGCCAAAACCGTCATTAATGACAAAACGTTTCTTTCCCTTAGAGGAAAGTTAGCAAGCAGAGAGTCAACATAATATATCTGACAGTTCAAATAGTTTCTAGTGGCGCCATTTTTTCCTTTTTCAGTTAAAATTCTAGTAGAGATGTTTGAGAACCTTATGAAACCAAAAGGCAAATCATAAATGTAGAAGTCACTATCGTCGCTAAAAATGGGACATTCATAACATTTTGCAAGGGCTGCTATTTGCTTATCACCGTCGTAATCACACTGGGCGGACGTAATACCCAATTCTTGAAGAATGTCTTTGAAAACTTCGTAAGCATTGATAGGCAAAATCGTGGACCAGCATTCTCCCTTTTGTATAAGATCAGCGATATTCTGTAGACGAGTTTCTTGCCTACTTATACACTTCTTAAGGGCGCGTTCTGATTGCTCAAACCCTCCATCGAAGATAACAATGGGCGAGATATTGCATTCAGTGAAAGTGGCAAAATACTTTCTGACTACATTGGCATACCTAGAAAGAAAAAAAGAAAAATTAGATTATTTAAAGCTAGTAATTTTTTGAGAAGGTGTTTCAAAAGTTATGAAATTTATAATTGATGTAAGCAATCAGACGTAGTAAAAATCAGCATATCGAATCGAATAAGTTAACTTGGGCACCTATTCAGATCTAAAGATAGCAACCACACCTGAATCTGCTACTCTTCGACGAGTCAGGTGGCATTAGGAAACGGGGAAGATGTCTATTCAGATGGCTTGATGATACGGAGAAAGATCTGAAAATATTGTTGGTTACTAATTGGAAACAATATGCATCTAATAGACACTGATGGAAAAAAAAACACGTTGTGACGACCCTGGCTTACTTTGGGCTGTAGTGCCAAGAAGAAGAAGAAAATTTATTTTGAAAGTAAAAATTAATTTCGTTATGTTCTTCTAACGGAAAAAGGCAATGACGTACTTTACATTTTACCCACTTCCGGCTCAATTACCTTTAACAGTCATTTTAGTTTGTTGGTTACCTTTAGCAGTTTGTTGGATCGTTAGTGAGTCATCATAGATTTAGTTGTGGAAAGAAACCGTTACGTACTCTGCATTTTGCCTGCATCCCAATTATTGTTAACAATATTTTTCTTAATTGTTGTCTCTTTTAATAATCGTTAATAGGAGTGGGCGATGTTAAGATTTTAGCATCGCGATGCATCGCCACTCAAACATCGTGATGTTTCGATACATCGCTTTGTCACGTTACTGTTTCAGATTTGGTTTTGCCAAATTTTGCATTCCTGCACAACTTTAATTTTTATTTATTTGATGCTACTGTAAAGTAAGACTAAAACTGAAATTTTAAATATATATATATATATTAGATTTTTAGAATTTAAACTTTGTGTGTTTGGGGAAGAAAGGGAGTAAAATTTCGAGAGAGGGATATTCAGATAAAATTTATAAAAAGTGAAAATTTGCCAAAATGCATGTAACTAACATTATACGAATTATATTCATTTTATAGGTATATATAAACAATGTTTAGTAAAAAATATTTATTGTAATGGGTTTTTTTTTCTAATTTTTTTAGTTATTATTTTTATTTTGATTATTTTCTTCTTTTGGATTAAAATAATTCAATAGACTGTCTTTTTCAATTTAAACAAAACACATCTTTTCAACCTTCTGATTTTGCTGAAGAAAATCGTAAGTTTTTAAATGAAAGAAAGAAGGTATTGAATAAATAGTTAACTAGTGAAACGAATAATTCATTAAAATTTTACATGCAGCTTTGAAAAAAATGAGTAAATTATGTTTAAGAATGAATTAAGAAGGGTAAAAAAAGAAAAGAGAATACTATTTCAACCTTGGCCAACAGAAATTATTGTTTATTTTCAACATTCTTAAAGATGGTTAGGTATCTTAGACAAAACCGCATTATAAAATTATTACATTAAGAAATAATTTTTCTAGAAAATAAAATTCGAAGAAATTGGTGCATTTTTTTTAGCTTTTATATTGTAATAAATTTTTCTTAACATTAATATTTTAGCAATTAGTATTTGATATTTGTGGAGTGCATGAAGAAAAAATTACTTTCGACTTAGTGATCGGATTTCAAGAAGTCTGATTTTTTGAAATTAACTCAACTAATTTCTTTTAACTTTTTTATTTTAAAATGAAAAATTATATTCTTTAAAAAAATTGTATACCTTAAAATTCAAACTTTTTTTCGACTATTACTAATTAAAAAATGAATTAAAATCATTTTTGTATAAAATTATCTTTGGATAAACGAATTTTATAATTTTGTGTTAAAATTTTTCAATTCGAGTGAAAAGCTTTCGAGATATGACGAAATACGCAAAAAGTAGCATTAACATCAAGAGATCCTAACTTTCGATCTCTCTCCTGACCATCAGATTACGCCTTATATTTTGAGGGTCAGAAATCACAATCCGTCAAAAAATTTATTCAGATAAGTACGCTTTTGCGCCTCACTTCGTAATTTAAAATATTGTCTGCTTAAACTAATTAGCATATTTGAGGTCTCTCCCTCAAACCACTAAAGATTAAGTCATAATAAGTAAAAATCAGATCAATAGACCAAAAGTATTAGCCTGCCTCAAAGTATGTCAACCAACTGTAAAAATAAAATAAAATTTAAAATGCGCATTAAGCCAACAATTTTAAAAATCTTTATAAACAGAAAAATAAAGAACGTAAAGGAAAAATATTAAAAAAATAAATAAAAATGATGGGTTGAGAAAGATAGAAGACTTAGAACAGCCGATGTGTATAACCTCTTGGTCTTTCATTCTCCAGAATTTCTTGAAGAATATCCTTCAATAATTTATTGAAGGCAGTAGAAGTATTGAAGGTAGTAACCTTCAATATTTTTGAGGAAATAGCGAAAAACTAGTAAAAAAACAAAATTTCCTGGAAAAGTATACGATGGAAATTATTATGGCTTCAATATTGTAAAAATCAATTTTTTAAAAATTTATTTTCAAAATTATTGCTAACCTAATGTATTATTATGTTGCTAAACTATGTTTCGTGAAAATAAAATTAAACTGCACACTCTTATAAAAATCGTTATAAATTAGGAAGATCGAAAAGCAATCAAGTCGAAAAAGAAAAAAAGAAAAGAAATAAAAGCGAAAACCTAAAGAAATAAAAACGAAACGACTGTCTTAAAAAGAAAATTTGCGTTTGATAAGCTGTCAATTTAAAAATTTTTTTGTAAAAATATTAGATTTTTTATATTTTCTAACAATAATAATGATCACTCTTTAATAATTGAAAACGTAGTCAATATGCAAAATTGCAGCTTTATACAAAATTATTAATGAAAACATTTTATCCATATAAAAGGAATGCATTCTTCAGATTTAACAAAGAAAAATAGGTAAAAAAATTAATAAACAAAAAGTCTTATCGGAACAGATCAAAATCGATCTTTTCTTCAACAAGACAAAAATGATCTCAAAGTATTATCAAATAACAAAACATAAATAATCCTCAGAGAATCATTTTCTTTTCTTGGATTTGCACAAATTGAAGAAAGCACTTTTTCATCTTTTATTGGCGATGAGTTAGTTTTCACTCCTAGTCACATCGGAATACATCGTGTTAGCGTATCGTTACTTGATAATTCGCGAAGGAAGAAGCACACGGGAAAGGATCGTCACGGGAATCTATGTCGCCTCGTGATCGGGGGAAATGATGTTCGCTCGAACATCGATGTTGAATCTGTAGAATCGCTCTTCGCGTCATCGGGAAACATGGTTCTCATCGCGCGGACATCGGAGTTTCCGATGCTTCGTAAAAGACGCAAACCTAAACATCGGATTGGCGATGATTACACCACATCGATGTTTTCCGATGAATCGATTGCCCAGTCCTAATCGTTAACAATATATAAAAACGTGTGGAAGGAATTAAAAAAAAAAATTAAGCTTTATCAATGGAGAATAAAATAAAAAAAAATTAGATTTTAATTTAAATATTAAATAAAATTTTCTCACCGTTTAAGTATTTCATTACATTAAATTTCAGTAGAATGAAAAATTTTCTCAATCTAGCGATGAATTAAACAACATAATCCAATTTTAAAGAAGGTTTTAGTCCATTTTAAAATTCGAAAATTGCAGTTGTAATACTAAATCATGCACGCAACGGAAACTGTTATACATTAGCTTTTTTTCTTTTATCTGGTTTACCAAATCTTCACTCATTGAATATATATATTTTTTTATTTCATTTTTTTTTTAAATTTCTTTCCTTATTTTGTTTATTTATTTATGTTAACGTAGGATATATTTTTACGGGAAAATGTTCACTGTGAAATTTGTTTTAAAAAGCCTTGTTATTTCCACTTTAAGGACAAATACATAATATTTATGAAATAAGAATCCTTTTCAATTTTTATAATTTTTGCTCCGCACCTTGCTATGCAATAGTTCTAAGAATCCTTGCCAAAATTGAATCACCATTATCGTCGCAAATTAAGAAAGAAAGCTAAGATCTGTGAAAACTAATGTTGAAGCCAGGATCAAAAACATTGAAACCAGGTTGATTGCCTCATGAAACTTGTGGAAGGTGTTTTTAATAATTGTCTTGTTCTCTTAATGCGCATTGGATAAAAAAAAGTTTTTTTTTTTTTAAATTTCTAAAGTTATTTTTTGAGATTTATGAGTATTGTCAAAGAAAAAATTGATGCTCGTGTTTTAGATTGAATTCCGTACTGTAAAAAATTATAAAGGATTTGAAAAATATCCAATCTATCATGATAATAATTTTCACACTCGTGTGCATTTGAATTTTTTTACTTATTTTTTCATTTTTGTTATAATTTTTTTTAACATATATGGGTGTTATGAAATGAACTGAAGCTCTTTTATAACCGCGGTTTCCAATAAATTCCGCATTGCAAAATATTACACAAAAAAAAAATCTCAAAATGACCAACTTTATGGGTAGTGGTTTTCATAGTCTGACATTAGTGTATATCGAGCAAGAAAGTTCTCTTTAAATATTCAGGACATATATAGGTGTTTTCAAACTAATTGCTGTTCACGTTTTAATTGAAACTAATTTAAGATATCCGATTGGGGGAAAATCGACAATTCCGAAGAAAATTTTGAGTCTTTTATTTTTATTTTTATCCATATTTGAATTTTAGTTCAATTGTTTTCTTAAAACCTTTTAAATTTTTGATCTCTGATTTTTAGAAATGGAGTTATAGTTGCTTTTCCGTATGTTGACATACAAAACCAAAAGCTAAGTCCCGAGAACAAAACTAATTTTAGCGATGTTTTGAACTTAAAGCAGCGATCTAAAAGTGAATTTGTTATCTTTATCAAGTTCAATAAAAGTAGTTTAAAATATATTTCGCTCTGAAAAAATTATAAAAAATATACATTGTCCTCCTTTAAGGTAATTATTTTCATTCTCTGAATATATAACGTGTATTGGACAAAACAAGATCTCTTTTCAAACTTACTGTAAGTATTTCTGGATATCGAAGGGTATTTTCAAGCATACGTCCACTTTTTAAGTTAGTGATTTTCATTCTCTGAATATTTCGTTTATTGGCCGAAAACTCTTTTTTTTTATTTCAAATTTCCTACGTGTATATCTTGATATCTACGGGTGTTTTCAAACAAATTAACGCTCAGATTTTGATATGAGCTGGTTTTAAATATATTTCACTAAGAAAAAATTATAAAAAATTCACAGTGTTCTCAATCTTAATGGTTAGATGGGTTGACTTCAAATATGCTAATTAATTAGTGCAGACGATATTTCAAGTTACGAAATCAGACACAAAAACGTACTCTTTTTTGATAGATTCAAATTTCTGACCCCCAAAATGTGGGGGGGGGGTAGCCAAAATTTGGGCGATATACTCCTAATAGTCTGGTCTGGAGAGTGCTTTAAATTTTTAATTCCTTAATGTTAATTTTACTTTTTTGAAATATTTTCGCACATAAAAAATTCGTTTATCCAAAGATAATGCCATGCAAAATATAAATTTCATTAAACATTAATTTTTTATTTATTATTTTATAAAAAAAATAGTGGAAAAAATTTGAACTGTGCGTAAAGAATTTTTAAAGTACCTAATTTTACATTGCAAAATATAAAATTTGGCTAAATTGGCTGAATAGTTTCTGATAAATCGAATTTTTCAAAAAGTGGGTTATTTAAAATTCGATTTTTTAGAAACTAACTGATTTCGCTCAAGTTTTGTATTTTCCATTTAAAATAAGATACTTTAAATAGATGCAAAAATTATATACCTCACAATTCCAAATTCTTTCGACTATTATTAAATGAAATAATCAAAACAATAAATATTTACTAAAGTTTATTGTTTGCATGGAGTTATCGTTGGATAAACAAATTTTATAATTGTGTGCAAAAATTTTTCAATTCCTTAAAAGTTCTCGAAATATGAAGAAATAGGCTGAAAATAGAACAAACACTAAGGGGTTTAAGTTTTAGATCGCTCTCCTGACTAAACTATTTGGACCATAACTTCCAGATCGCGTCTATTTTGGTTGTAAGAAATCCAAACCCGTTGAAAAAAAGGTATGTTTATTCAGAGAAAGTACATTTTGTGTACTACTTCCTCTGAATAAAATTAAAAAAATACCGTCTTAAGTAGTTTCGTAACTTAAAATATCGTCTACACTAATTAATTAGTATATTTGAAGTCATCCCCTAGAAATATTAGGATGGAGTCTTAGAACGTGATGCATATTAAATCAAATGCTGTTCATGGTGAACCGTTTTTTTTACACATTTTACGAAATAGATAATTTTCGATTATATAAAATTGGCAAGCATTGGAAAGTCGCAAAAAACTGAATCACTTTGCTACTTTGGTGTGTGTTCGAAAAGAAATCAGAAAAAAAAGCCCTTAAAAATTTTACTGCTTTTGCTCAGTGGAAAAACATGTTAAGAAAGGTTGTAAAAAACTACAAAATATCATCCTCAGAGTGTATGAGAACGCCACAAAGTTTTTTAATACAGCCTACTTAAAGAATTAATTACATTAATAATTGATTTATGCTCGCATTCCGCTATAAAATCTTTCTAAATCTAGAAAATGATGCTTTTTAAAAGTACCTATCAACATTTTTTCCCCTGAAAGCTTTTCACTTTTAGTGGAAGGACATGTTATACTTATAGTGGAAGACATTTTAATATATGTTTATTTAGACATTATATTGGTTACTTATGTTAGTGGAAGAACATGCTAAAAAAAGTAAAAAATTAAAAAAAATTTGCTGTAGAATTCTTTAAGATCATCAGAAAGCTATTTACATGACATTTTTCCATTAAAGCCACTAATTTAAAGATTTTATAAAGCATAAATTAGGATTCTTCACTTATAGACGATAAAATATCATTTTTTAAAACTCTGGTATATTTTAATTTTAACATGCTCTTCCACTATAAGCTTTATATTGGTAGTTAACATGTACTTACTCGTTATAATCGCCTCCGAACCTGTAATCAACTCCACTATATACAAATAATGAATCAAGTTAGAATTTATAAGATCATCAGAAAGCTATTTACATGACATTTTTCCATTAAAGCCACTAATTTAAAGATTTTATAAAGCATACATTAAGATTCTTCACTTATAGACGGTAAAATATCATTTTTTAAAACTCTGGTATATTTTAATTTTAACATGCTCTTCCACTATAAGCTTTATATTGGTAATTAACATGTACTTACTCGTTATAATCGCCTCCGAACCTGTAATCAACTCCACTATAGGTATACAAATAATGAATCAAGTTGCATCCGTCGATGATGATTCGAGTATCATGGAGTTTAAATGGCTTGAAAATATGGGGATTTTCTTCCATAAATCTGTGCAACCCTCTCACGCCCATCTTTAAAGATAGTTTCACAGAAATTAAATTGTGGTTATTTGAGCATCGATTTTGCTCATTGTTTTCACGGAAATCAATCATAAAATAGATTAGATTTGAGGTAAAGTTATTCGCACTTATCATCTGATGACCTTCTCATTGAAACAATAACTTCGATATCTTTGTTTATTTCCATGGTGTTAGTTTCGATTTTAAGTTATTTTTAAAGCTTATCTGAATAAATTCATATTGTGATATATTTTTATTTTATCTATACCCTTTTCAATTTACTTCTCGTAACAACGTATGATTAGAATAAAGTTACTACATTTGTTAAATATAATTGTGGTTTCATTTTTATTCGTTTTTAAACTAAAAACCGTTTAGTGAATTTTCTTAATTTGAGGCAGCTGTAACTGATAGAAAATCTATTTCGAGTTTCGGTATATGCGTGTATCTCTACCATTTGATGCCCTGGTCAGTAAGAAACAATTAATATGAGCTTCTATATTTATTAATAAACTTAACAATGAAACAAATAATAATTAGACTGAAACAAACAAAAAAATATATGAAATAGGAGCTTTCAAGAAATGCTCCTTCAGGCATGAGTGCATCGAGAACAACTGACAAAAAAAAATATAATTTGATTGGCGACGAATTGACGCCGCCAAAGAGAATTAATTCGTAACACACAGCCCCCCCCCCATGAACCATGGGGGTTCATCAAAATTGTTAAAAATACAATATACCATAAAAAAAAAGAGAAGTTCGATTAAAGAATTTTCATTACAATAATTCAAATTGCAAATATTCAGCGAATAATCAAAAAGTTTTATAACATCAACATTCAAATTTTAGAGCTAAATTCAAAAATACAACAAAACAAATCTTATTTTATGCTCTAATTAAANATTTATTACTAAATTCTTGATTATAGAATTATTTACAAAATGATACATGAATTGGAGAATATAACATTCCGGAGCGCTGCTGCTCCCTTCTCGCTCATGCTTTCTCTATCATAGCTCAACTCAAAACTCAACTCTTCTGCGTTCTAAACTAATCTGATCTCAAAAAATCCTCTCTCTCCTCAGAAACAGTCATTTGCTCCACCCCCAAGGTAGGGGACGACACCTCCAGTGTCCTTCACCCTCTGACCCTCAGGTCAAGGGGTCAATCCAATGCGTGGGAGAGGAATCAGGATCCTGACAATGTCTTACAAGACAATTTTGAAAGGTTTTCAAGCTGGCCGCCAAGAGCTGCTAGTACTGTTACATTTACTGTTTAAAGAAATAACCTTTAACAAATATGTTTTCACAATATATTAAAATCATGGAAAATTATTATAAAGAAAGGACTTTTATGCCAATATTTCACTCATACTTACACTAATATCTTATGACAAGATGATACTTAAGTGAATATTCATGAACTAGGAAACTATAATCAATGACATATTCAATTAATTTGCATTAGCGTTTTGATTAACTTAGCAACTTAGATTTGATATTAAGAAACAAAGATTTGAAATTTATGAATTATTGATTTCAAATAATTCATTTATTAACACTGATTTTTCTATACTTTAAAATCTCTCCATGTTCTTTTTCAAGAGTTGAATCAAACAAGGGCTCCAAATACTCAAACGCAACAAATAAGTTTTGTGATACACTGTAAAGATAATCCCGTAAATTTACGGTTTTAAACCAGTAGCCATGCAAGAAAAAGTTTTACCATATAAGTAAACGTTTTTTCCGTAAAAATCACGAAGAAAATCCGTAATCAAACTGGTTTTGTAACCGTAACGAAGCAAAGTTTTGCAACGAAAATAAATCTGTGGTTTCAGTTGATTTTTTCCATGTGAGAAAAAGCTATTTCCACGAAAGTTGCGAAGCAAATCTGTATTCGTACAGATTTGAATATTTTATGACGACAGAATTTGTATCGAACAGTCATCACTGGGTTTTGAACCTGGGCTAACTTCGTTGATAGGAGAGCGCTTTGTACTAGAGCCACTGTGACTCAAATGTTTGATTATGAAGAAATTGTTACACTGAGAATTTCGCGCAAATATTATATAATTTTGACAATAAAGTTGAAGTGCAATTTTATTTGTACGCTGTTCAAAAACTTAAAGTGATTGCTTAATAATAAGTAATTGTTGTAATAATAATAAGTAATAAGCAAGAATAATAAGTAAAAATAAGTAAGAGCAATTATAGAAAATTATCTTATATTGGAGAAAAGGCTTGGAGAAAAGTTACAGTATTCCAATGCGAGAATTAGAATTTCAGCTAACTGATTTTATCCGTCTGTGATTAAAGTCATAAATCGGAAGAAACCGTTTTGTCAATAAGTGTTTTAAACCGTTAAATATACAGAGAAATTCCGAAAAAAACGACGGATATTTTTTACAACATAAGCTGTAATTTAAATAATTGTCACGTTATTCATTTTAGTATCATGCTTTTTTTTCATAGTAATAAATATTTGCTTTATTAAATTCCATTAGATTAAATTCAATCTACAGGATCTAACTTTTATCTAGCCGGAGTCGGGCAAATTTCTTCCGACTCTAACAAAATTATCTTTGGCTTCGACTCTTCGACTTAAACTGCATAATTAATAGACCTAATGGAAATTATTCCTTTTAAGATTATGAAGGATGGTTTCTTTCAATAAAATAATTGATATGCATTCTTTCCAATCTTTTGATTTTTTTTCTTTATCAGTACAATAATTGAGCAAAGTGACTGTTTAATCTTTTCTTCTATCATTTTATACTAAAGTAAATGAACATAAAAATGAAAATGCACTTACAAGCAGCTTTGTGCCGGGAATAAAAACATTCTGGTAAAATTACTACACTATAGTAATTTCATTTCTGGGGGGGAAACACAATTCTGGTTAATATATTCAAAATATGGGGTATTTAAACCATTCATTCGGTAATTTTTCCGTTCAGATGGTAACGGTTAACCAGTAATTATGGTTTTTAAAATTATAGTTCCTATTACCACACATTTAGTAAAAAATACAAAAATGGAAAAGCAAATTTAACCGAATAAATTGTTTTTATGCCATACTCTAATGTATCGTGATAAAATTACCAAGTTTTACCACCTTTACCCAATTATTTCTCATATTTTTAAATCATATTTTCCTGTTAACTTTACCAAAACCATTACCAACGCGCTTCGATAAAAATTACTGAGCTTTATGGTGTACCCATAAAGCCAGAAACACGGTAAATTTCACCATATTTTGGTAGTTTTGACCATACGTTTTCCTCAATTTTTAATTTTATGTTCTTCCGCTTTTAGAAATAAAAATGTAGAAAAATATGTGCATGAATGAATTGTAAAAAGAAAGTTTAATAATTTTAGCAATAATGTAAATAAATATAATATGCAATAATATGTTAACTAATGTAAGTAGGCATTTAAAAAAACAATAATACAGAAGGATTTATTTAAAGTTTATGGAAAAGAACATTTAACATTTTCTATTCTTTCTACTGTGTATCTCCTTATAATAGTATTAACATAAATAATGTATCAAGTAACAATAGTCTCTCGGGGTTTATATTTGCATTAAGCTAAAATTATTAACAGAAATCATAAAGTGTTTCATTTTAACAAAATTTATTTAGATAATTATTTATATCCGATTATTATATCACAATAAATGAAATTACATTTGAATAAATATTTAATTACCTTAAATTATCGCAAAAATTATTTTATTAAATATTTATGTTTTATGAAAGCAAAAACAGTACTCAAATGAATATTTATGACATTTAATTATGACTTACAACTGTTTTAATTACATTTAAGCTAATTAACTTACTAAATTTTTAAGTTTTTACGAATTTAATAAAGCTATCGCAAATAAACAAAAATTTAATTGTTTTATCTTAAAATTAATTATGCTAATAATCAAAAATGTTTCCATTCTTCTTTTAGCTTCTGGTATCAAGATAAAAATATCAAAAAGAAATAAATGCAGCAACCTTAAAAGGTTTTAAGGAATGCAAGACATTAAAAGTAAATCATTTTATCTTGCTTCCAGGACGTCAATTCCAATTCGCGTGACAGTTGTCACATGCTTTCAGATTATGCTATAAAATTAATGATGGCTTAATGAAAATTTTATACAAAACATCTAAACCCATGTTGACCTACTGTGGCATATACGTCACACGAATTACGAGAATTCTTCTTATATGAAACAGGAGTGTTTTTATATCAAGCAAATGTTTATTTATTCTTTTCAGAGATCAAAAAGTAGTTAAAGAATTAATTACTTATTTAGTTAAAAAAAAGTATCTTTTCAATAGGAGTTTTTTTTTTTGCATCACGGCATATAAAAAATTCAGTCATTAATGCGTTTACATGCTTTAACGCTTAATTTTTATTAAACATATTTTTCATACTTTTTTTTATTATTTAGTATTACTTTAGATCAAAAATAGTGTAAAGTATCGTATTTAGCATTTAAAAAATTTATGGCTATGAAATATAACCTGAAACACCGGTTTCTTCTTCTGAGTAAAATGTAAAATCTTCCAAATTTGCACTTATCTAAGAGAAACAGTTATTCATCATTGAAATTTCTTCAGTTTACAAAATCAATTATTGATAAATTTTTGAATAAGAATAAAAATACATTTTTTCAATCTACTTTTCTTTTTTTTTTTTTTTTTGAATTTATATTTTACCACAAGTATAATTCCGAAAATCTAACAGATTTCTTTTAGTAACTATTAGACTTTTTTATAATTAAAAAACATCAAAATATATTTTTTCTTGTAATTAGAGGTTTGGAAAAAAATTTATATAAAAGTGACACCGATGTCCCATCCGCCTCAAAGAGTTAAGGCTCTGAGTGAAGCAGAAGGAAACAAAAATACCTAAAACTGCATTACCATGGTATCGTAGAAAAAATGGACAAAAATCAATTCTCAATGAAACATTTTATTTGTTCATTTATTTGGCTTAAAAAATAAAAACTATACAATTGATCAAACCGCGTTTTTATTCTTACAAAGAAAATCTAGCCTCTATAAACATAAGCGTTAGCTCTTGAAACAGGCATTGGATCATTGGATGCATATGGTCTGCCCCCATATCTGTCAGAAGTGACAATTATTGGATTGCCGCCAAAATTTCTACCATCATCGTAAACATCGTTATATCCACCAAATCCATTCAAATAATATTCCAAAGGAGCTTGGTCTGATCCTATTGGTACGCATGAAGGATTTCTTTGATACATGAGTCTCTGAAAAACAAAAACAAGTGGCTATAGCCTTTGAAACTGCCGACATTTTGTTATATTTCGAAATGGGGTTGCACAACCGACCAATTCTGAGTTTACGACTATCATTGTTTAACTCCGTAGCCTTGAACATTTGAATCCAACCCAGAAGACGAGTTAAATCCTGGATAAAGCATTGGGGCAAACCAGCTTTCGGGAAGGACTTTTTGTTAGAACCAACTAATGTTTGCGTTGCATGGAGAGGAAAATCGCGAAACCCTCCAGCGGTTAGCCAGCCAGACGGCAAGGGAACTCTAACCCATGATCCGTCTACCACTGAGGATATTTTATATTATCGCTGTGGTCGGTTCAAGCTGCAAGCCACCAATGAAAGTCGAGCCTGGGTCACGTCATTGGATTGCGAACGCTATATTCCTTGAGCAAGCACGCCTCCTTCTACCTTTTTTTGTGAAAAATTGTGATAGTGCAGTGTGTGCATTTGCAATTTTTGTTTTGAGGCAATTACTACTGATGAATCCCAGAATGTTGCCAAGGGATCATTTGTGAACCTGTATTGGATTGCTAGCGCTATTCAATCATAAACAAATTATATTGTTTATGATTTAAATTATTTTAATATTAATACTTTGATACAAGGGTCTTTAATGCTGTATATAAATCTTGCAAAATAAATGTATTTAATGTTCTCATTTAAATTTATTTTAAGCTACCCCTATAGAGAATAGTTATTTATATATAATGCATGCTTTTCGTTGTCTTTTGTGCTGCAGCTGCTGGGAAAGGATTAATGAAACTACTCTATTACTGCATGAGCTGCGTAGCATGGAGCCAATGGAGCACGTCTCGAGCTGTTAAAAATTTGAAAACAGTATTAAGCAGTTGAATTCAATCGGGCTTTTTTTTAAGACGGGAAAGTGAAAATACTTCCATCTTCTTATGCATGCGACTTTTTCTTAGAAATCATGGAATAAATACTAAAAAAAATCCTATAAATATAAAAAGTTCCCATAATAACGAAAAATAAATGAGACTACAGCTTTCGTTACAGTGAACTTGCCAGCAGGCGAGACAATAACAAACCTACTCTGCTGTATTGTATACAATCAGCCACTATTATCTAATGATGTCCAACGTATGTCATATGTGATGTTTTCAGTTGCAAAAATAGTTCATAAATAGTGTGAATGTGTGTGAGCTTGTTGTAAGCATTTTTCATTATTGGTATTTCAAATTAAATACAGCCATTATAGTGTCCATGAATTTAAGTGTCCTTAAGAGAAATCACGCGAGAAAGTTTTAACATTGATAAAACATTGCTTACTCCATATTCATCATAATATTTTGGCTTCCTACATTCTAATCCGACGATGCAGGGACACGTGATGTCATACGTGCCATTAATCATCGTAGTATACAGATCTCCATCTAGGCACATTTCCCCTATAAAAATATAAATATTCTTTAACATTTTGAAATTTTTTATGGAAGTTATATAATTTACATTTCTTACGACAGTAATTTTAAGGAAATTATAAATAATTAACAACATTAGAAAAATGCAAATTACGTCTTTTTGCAATCAACCAATTAAAAATATAAAATAATAAAATCGTATATGTTTATTAATTACGATTACGCTTGTTGAAAATGAAGTTTCACGTAATCTTAAAAAAACTTATTATTTTCAAATAAAATTGGAATTACTATCACTCCCACAGGATTATACATTGCAATAAGTTATAATAAGAATTATCCACGCAACCGTGGGTTCGTAAAATTGTTCGTAACTTGGGGAACACTTACGAAATATGTTAAAAACCTTAATTATAAATTTCAGAACTTAAAGCTATCACTCAAAACTATTATTATTATTAAAATTTTTGTTATTGTACCTTCACAAGTTTACGCTTTTGAGGAGTGATTTAAGAACATTACATAGAACACTTTGTTTGTATATAAATTTCGTTTGTATAAAATATTCGCTTTCTTAGCCTTAAAATTCTTGGTAAGTTGTTAATTGATAGAAGAAACTGATCAAAATTACAGTAAAAATATTGGAGAAAAGATACTTATTCATTTTGAATCGACATATTATTACTGACACTAATGCTTTATTAATATTGATAATACGTATTAATTGAAATAAACTAGACTAAGCTTAAAGGAGGAAAGGTTAATAAAAAATTTGCTTAGGAAAACCGTAGAAAATCACCATTCACAGATGACGCTTAATTCATATGTATCCCTGGCGATAATATGTATTACTTGTATTATGCCGGTGCAATTTTGGTAAGAATTCTACAACGGGCTTTCCGTAGTTTCAGAAAATATTTTTCCAGTGGTAGCAAAGATAGTTTAATAATATTTTAACGTTTGAGAACTAAAGAGCATTGTTCTTCCACTACTAAATATTTTAATAGTAAATTAAAGGTTAAATAGAGAAATGGCCATTCTCCAAAATTAAAAGAATTTTGCTAGAAGGTTTTTCTAAATTAGCTTGTTTCCGCTTTGGTAGTATGAAAAATTCTCCTACCTCTTTTATTTAGCTATTTTAGTCTGTATGGAGTTTTTGGCATCTGGAGCATAATGTGGACTAATTGAAAAATCCGGCTCTTTTCAAAACGTCTCCGTTATTTTGGTGCCTGGTATTTGATAGATTTAATACAATGACTCATATTTTCAAGCTATTTAAAAAATTTATCGTTCATTGCTCAAACTGCCTGAATTATACAAAACGCCTAAATTATATTTCTTTTATTTTCTTCATAAAAAGTCATGAAATAATTCACTATACGATTCAATCCTTGAGCAAACCCATGCTGTTTGAGGAATCAACGCATATTCTTTAATAAGCCAAAAGACTTGTAATGCGCCTAAATAATATCGAGCTGGCTAAGTAATGCTTTTTCAATTAGAAAAATGAGTAAACGTTTGCAGAGTCTATCAATTAACCTAAATGACTAAGACAGCAAAAGTGTAAAGCTACCTAAAGTCAATGTCCTTCAATGGTCAAACGAAATATAAAGTCAATGTCCTTCAATGGTCAAACGAAATATCGTTCTGTCCATTTTACTGACTTTCTGTCAATTCTATGCCAACACGCCGAATGCAATTTTCTGATTGTTAACTTTGTCATGGCTTTGGCTGCGAAAATTTCATATCCTTGCTGACATTAGGGCGGAATTCAGCTAAATTTTTGCAATTATGATAGCTCAATTAGCCAATCAGAAGCCTGTATTTTTGTAAACATACCGCATTTTGCGGTATGTAAAAATACAAGCTTTTGATTGTCTGAATTTGTAAATCGTAATTAAGTAAATTTAGCTGAATTCCTTACTAGAAAGTCATGGATTTACGAATTGTAGATTTTTTGTATTCATACGATAGATTAATGAAGAAGCTAACATAAAACTGGCGAATTTTACACTGTACTGATATTTTGCTTAAAAAAAAGTTGATTAAAGAAAGAAACTTAAAATAAACTCTCCATTCGATTTGAGGGCCCCTTCTAATGTGGGGTCTGGGGCAACTGCCCGTATGTCCTTGCCTTAGACAGGCGCTGACAATACATGCAAAAATGTGACACCTAGTTGAATTAATGTAGAATGAGCTTACCAAGTAGTCGCCTTTTCACGCAGTAAGCTTCTGGGGTCATAAAATGTTTAGAACAACATTCTGTCATCCGATCGCAATCCGATTGCTCATAACATCTCTTCCATGCCTCTACCTATAAAATAAAGAAATATTAAGCTTTCATTAAATACGAAGTTAATGAAAAAATTCAGCTCAATTTTTTAAAATATATTTTACTATACCACATTTTTATAGTGTGCAGGGATAGTGCTTCTCATATTGTTTTTTACAATTGTTTGAAAAGTGTAGTTATTAAATCTCCCTCCTGTTTCAAGTAAACTAACGATACCATAAGAAAAATTTGAGCTAATCAATGTTAACCTATAAATATGTAGACAAAGCAATTGTTTATCTACTACATTTTGATTGATGAAAAAAATTGAAACTAATTCAGAATAAAAACTTCACTTATCTCGTATATAGTTGTTCTACCAATAATTCGTCTGATAGATAAGCTCCATTTTTTAAAAAGCTAAGTACTTTTACTTCAAAACAAATATTTATAACAAGTGAATTTTTTTTACCTCAGAAAAACCACAACTTTTATAACAGAAACTTTTGAAATCCATTAACTTTTATAAACTTCTAATGTTTGTTACTTTTGAAACAGACGTTCAAATGGAATTCTTATGTATCCTGAAAGCGACATAAATTACTTTGAAACAAAAAATAGGAATAAATATTTTTTATTCTCTCACATCTATAACATGCTTCTCAAACGTAGCTGTTAAAACAAGCATTGCTTTTAACATTTATAGGACTGTTAAAGTCTGTCAGTTTGTTACAGTTATTCGTAACAGACGATTTATATATCAGACACAACAAGTTTACAGTAAGTAATTTATAAGAGCTATTAGTTTTTATGAAATTCTAAATTTAGTTACTGCGAAGCAAAAATTTATATTTTGCAATTTCTTATCCATTTAACCATGATATGTTTGTTAAAATTAACAACATTATTTCATACGGAAAAGAAATTGCGGCAAGTTTACTGAGTTTTAAAATGATAGTTCTTATTACCACAAATTTTGTAAAAATATAGAACTAAAAAGTAAATTTAATCGAATAAATAATTTTCACGGTATGCTGTTGTACTGTGAAAGTATACTGGATTGAATTACCAAATTTTACCATATTTACTAAATTTTAACGCATATTGTAAAATAATATTTTAGTGTAAGGTTTACCAAAATCATTACTGAAGTGCTTTAGCAAAAATTATCGGGCTTTTTGGTGTTCCCATTGAGCCAGAAAAATGGTAAATTTTATGATATTTTCGTAGTTTTGACCATACTTTTTTTTATCCCAGTGTAGTTTCCATTGCTGTTATAAAATGCCAAAGTCTATAATTATAACAGAAAACTTTGTTAGTTCCATGGTAAGATTCATTTTCCGAAAATATTGTGGCGGTATTTATTTCATGGAGTTTACTTACTTTAATTTTTGATTAGTTCATTCCAATATTAGTGACCACAGAAGATATTTGCTTATAAACCGTAAATACCATCGTATTCTTAATGACATTTTAAAACTTGAATCTGGCAAATTTAATTTGGTGATTCTGCATCATGTTATTGATTTAAATTGCGTTAAATTCAGGATCTAAATTGGCATCCTTTATTTCTGTTTTGTGAAATAAACTAAACGATGGAATTTTTTGGAAAATTAATGATTTCCAAAATATTCTATTGTCTAGGCGGTTCCCAATTATTTTTGGCTATGGAACCCTAACTGATTGATCTTCGTATGGGACTTAGACTTTACTGATAAATATCATCAGAAATTTTGAGCATAATTATTAACGAAAACCTATTAATTGTTACGAAAATATTAAATCAGAAAAATCACTTTCACTGGAGCGGCATCTAGTCTATTTTCGAGTTTGATTATTTTGTATGAATAAACTGAAAACGAGTAAGATGAATTACGGTTTTCATTGAAATGAAAACAAAGAATCAAATAAATAAATTAATTAATTAAACGTCACGGGTGATTTCTTATCAGAGAAACATACTTCTTTATTTCTTGAATCTCTTCTTGAATCTTGAATCTTTTCTTGAATCTTTCTTGAATCTCTTCTGAATTTGGTTATTTTAATTTGGAATGTTCGACACGAGATATTAGTGCAATATTATAAGCTCATATCCTTTCAATTATTCGTTCAATATGCATTGTTATTAAAAACCAGTGGTCCAAAAAACTGCATTATTTCTGTAGTTTGTTGCAACTACAACAATTACTACAACAATTTTGTTACAAATGCAGTTAGCTACAACTACTTTTTTAAATGTAGTGAATACCAACTACTTTGGAATTATAGTAGGGGAGAGTGGGGTCAATTGTAACAGGGTACGATTGTAACAGAGCAAAAATTTCGAGTGTCGGGTTATAGATTTGGTTCCTAGGTGGCGCACAAGGTGTATTTAATAAATCTACATGTACACCCCTGATGGCAACCATTTTTATGTACTTTTGAAAGAGTTANTTAAAGCTTCCAGAACACCTATGCTCAAAATGGTTTTGAATGAGAAATTGACTTACATTAAATATAAGAGAATAATTGAGAAATATTTATTCCTGTTTATAGGAGCCAGTTTGTTATTCGAAGTTTTTTTTTTTTCTCGAATTTGTTCATTTAACCTTCCATTTTTTATGCCTTTTTCAACAGCCAATATTCAGTTTAAAAAAAGCGAAATTATCGAATAATTGCAATTTTTTATTGTTTAATGCTCTTTTATTTTCTCTAAGAAATTAAATACATCAAAAATACGTTCCATTCATTTAAAATAACATCACTGTTTCCCGAGTGTGAATTTGCGTTTAAAAATGTGACCAAAGAGAATTATTATCTACTTATCGTAATGACTAGTTTAAATATTAGTTCAACGTGATTTTAAATACGTAATTTCTGTTAAATCTCAGTTGCACCCGCATATTTTCGATTATCCCTGTAATCCTTCTATTAAACCGTAGGATTCCACACAACACGTTTCGGAAACCGCTGTTCTAGATATTGAAAATTTTAAGAATGACTCAATAAGCTAAACAGTTTCCGATGACAAAATTTCACAAATATACATATTACAAATATAAATATTATGTAATACACAGATAAGAATACTAATTTGAAAAATAATATCTTACCAAGCCTCCAACAGACATTATCAATGTTAAAGCTAACAAAGTATAAGCAGACATCATGTGTTTTAAGTGTACTTTCTGTACTTTAAAAGAGACTTTATTTTTCAAAACTAAACATATTTTGAGTACGCGAGTTTTTATATACGATATAAACGATTTGTTTGCTGTAATTTCCTACGATTATTCTAGAGCTCGTGATGAAAAAAAAGGCAACAGTATTGCTAATAGTGAGAGTAACCTACTCATAAAGTCATGAAATCGGAACATAAATAACATAGTTTGCTTTGCAGAATAGTATAATTTCGTTCAGTATTACAATTGAATGAAAAAAATTCGAACCGTGGTAAGTGACGTCAACACGTGTCGCGGAATAAATGCATTTTTTTGTGTGGTTTTTTGAAATATTCATTATATGATGGTGACAATGGACATTACGACGACACTTGGAAGTTTATTTGTAAATTATAACAAGCAACAAGAAAGTGAAACTGCGTAAAAACTGTATAAGTCGGAGGAATTCTTAGAAGTGTTTTTTGTATAAAAAGTTGTTTCGCCATTTTACTCATCTTTTCAATGCTAATCGTCTGCAACCGAGACCGGATGCTCTCTCGGTTCAAGAGTACGACAATTCTCGACTCTTTTTTTATTTTTATTCTAAGTGAGTCGCAGTTATTCTAGTAGTTTATAATCTCATTCGTCTTAATGAAATGAATGCAATAACTTAAATTTTTGGGTGAATGGTGGCATATATGAAACAAATTGAAAAAGATGCAGAGTATTTTTTCTGTATGTTTACCTTCATCGGCAAAGTTGTAAAAATTAAAAACATAAGAAAAAAAACACATTAACCAATTTTAAAAACTCAAATTCATTTTCTGAAACTCATAAGCCTGCATTTATGATTGTTCCTTTCAGTCACAATGTTTCCTACTTTTATAATTAATTTTATCATAACGCATGCGCGAAACAGCGTATGTCTTTAAATACAGCTTTTGCATTACGTTTGGCAAAATTTTAACGTAAACGCTGTTTGTCAAAAGCCGCACATTTTAATGCGTGTTGATTTGATAGCACTGTTTGCCGTTTGTTTGCGTTGCCGAAAGTCCCCCCCCTTTTACTTTCATTTATTCTTTATTTTAATTATTTTTTTATTTTCATTATACTTTTTTAAAATAGGAATAATCTGATGGAATTGGCGATATACGAAGTTATTAAAGAGGGGTAAATAGAGGAAGCACTTACGCTAAAATAGTCGCAGTTTTGATTCACTTCAGATTGACAAAATAAGCCATAATGGATTTTCCTTGAGTCGGTAGAAAATCTTTTAAGATTATATAATTTTACTTCAAATAACAGTTCTTCTTTTTTTATTTTGATATTTTACTATTTCTTACATGACATGTGAATAATATTGGAATGAAAAGTAAAAAATGTAAGGTTGTATAAAAAATTGCTTCATGTATAATGTGTCATGTGTAGTGTGTTATGTAGCAATACACTTTATGCTAAACATGAATATGGATTGCTGAAATATATATTTATTCACTAACACATTCTGTAACTTTTTAAACTCAAGCAAATGGATGCTAAAATTGGTTAGTATTGGAATAGAATTTGCTAATAGGTACTAATACTAGGTTTTAGAAAATACAGGTTTTAGAAAAATATAAAAAGCAAAACTAATGAAGGGATTTGTCTGTTTTCATTCATCAAGTTTTATTTCAAGTGAATCCAGTAAATCAAATAATTGAATCCTTATTGTTAGGTTGTTGTTGTTGTAGTCATTTACTTCGCACTAGAGCTGCCCAATGGGCTATTGGCGACTGTTTAGGAAACATCCCTGAGGATGATCCGAAGACATGACATCACAATTTTGATCCTCTGCAGAGGGGGTGGCACCCCCACTTCAGTAGCCCGACGACCTGCACACGAATTCGAGCACTTTACGGTAGAAAAGTTTAACGAGGACACACCGCACGAGGATAGTACCGCACACACTCGGTTCCTATGCAGACTAATCCAAGTGGTCACCCACCCACACAATGACAGCAGCCAGTGATGTTTGACTTCGGTGATCTGCTGGGAACCATGTCTTAACGATCAGTTCACTGCGGAACCCTTTTTGTTAGGGCTTTGAAATTTAAAATTTGGCGAGGCTGGCAAAAGCAAAATAAATAATGAGGAACAAAAAAACAACCTGCAATGCCAATATTGCGCGTGCATCGCCAATATTACTTTTTAAACAGAACGAGACTGATTTTTGTTTGAAGAGGTTGTAATTTGTTTTGGGTGTACTTAAAAATCTGGTTGAATAAATGAATATAATTTCTTATTGTTTTTTTTTATTTTCCCTTAGCAATAAATCATATTTTTAAATGATTCATTGGTAATTCTGCCTCACTGGGGTAAGAAATTAAGAGAATTTGCAGACTTGGTCGATTATCTCAAGAACTCCTAGACCGATTTTAATGAAATTTGATATGTGCATACATTAATACAATACAAAACAAATAACCATTCAACAATTGTAATACACACGTATGATCATGAGTAACACTCGTTGAAATCTGGATGANTGGAGTCGGAAGGTATGAAATTGCCACAAGATAATTCAGGCCACAGGAAATGATAAACAGCCTTATTTCAATGTATGTACATATCAAATTTCATTAAAATCGGTCCAGTAGTTCTAGAGATAATCGACCAAGTCTGCAAATTCTCGTAATTTCTTACACTTGTGTAGCTAATACCTCCTAAAAGAGATAAGGCCTCAGTACGGATTACCACGAACAAGAAATGTGATTCATCAATAATCCAAACGTAATAACATCGTTCGTATTTCCCCCACTGCGCAACTTAGTAACCCGGACTTAGTGACATATTTCTAAAATTGCCTTCACTTAACAGTTTATATTCGTTACTTCGGACTACTAAATTGATCCGTGCTGAGGCCTTCTCTCTTCCAGGAGGTGCTAGTTTATCCCGGCAGTTTCTTGACACTTAGGAAAGTCGATTAAGCAATAAAACCGTACATTGTACTGTCACATCGTAACAATTTGCTGATACTTTAAGAATGTGTTAAATTAAACTATATTTTAATTTATGCTGAATAACAATACCTTGTGTTTAGTGAGTTAGATAGAACGGTGCCATGGATCAATTTAAGAGTATACTATGGTTGCAGCGAATTTCCACGATGTTATTGTTTAACTTGTTATTGTGTTGTAACTGTAAATATACTCTGATTATGCTTAACAAATTTTTTATCGAGAGAGGAGGTTTCCATATTTTGCTTACAGTTGAGCATTAATCACCTGGCATCTTTTCGCGACTTTTTTGGAATCCTTTAGAATCCTATAACTTTTAACTCGGAAAACTTTCCGTAAACTCGGGCGATTCCGTGAATTTGAGTTCCCGTCTTTGTGTTAAGTAAGAAATATATAGTGAAAGAATTGAAATCTTAGTGAAAGAATCTTTGTGTAAGAATACAGAACGCGTAATTTAAGCGAAATGATACTTGAAGGGCTTACCTTATTCGAAATAGAATGGATGGAACAGTTGCTAACGTAAACATAAGCCACGTTTTAACAACCAATCAGGATCATGTGACCCACACTACGTCACTTGCACTATTTTATTTTTAATCTCAAGTATTTTCGACTGTTTTTTTTTAAAAAAAAACGTTATTTAAAAGTCAAGGAAAAAAAGAAAGAACGAACGAAACAGTTAAATTGCACTGAGTAAATTTGCATAAACGACGCCCCGGAGAAAGGGAAAAGTACTAAAATAAGCTATGTACTAAAAAGAAAAATTAATGAAGAAATTGTAAAAGAAACGTATAAAATCAAACTATCATAGATGGCAATAATGTTTAATTTTCCTAATAAGTACTGAATAAAATAAAGGAAATATATACTCTAATGCAAAATTAATATGCAAAATGTATTAAATCGTTTAGGAAAAACATGAAAAATCGTAATATTATTAACGATGCCATTGATGCTTAATTAATTTTGGTAAAAATTACTAATTGAAATTAAAAATAAGCTATGTTAAAAAGCAAGATTAATGGAGAAATGGTACTAATTTTGTTAAAAGAAGTATTAAAAAAACTATTGTTTGCGCCATTTTCTAATTTTGGTTATAAGGACTAACTGAAATAAAAGAAAATAATAGCTTTATACTTTAAAAACTATAAAGCAAAACTAATTGAGAAATGGAACTCATACAAAAAGAAAAAAAAGATATTTTCTTATTTGCCGAACGCAAGCGAAAAGTATTAATTTTATTTAATTTTATACACCTAAAATTAAAAAAATTAATAAATAAATAATAAAAAAAAGCGATTACATTTTCTTGCATTTCGCAAACCAAAAAAAATTATCATATGTATTATTATTGCTAATGATGCTATATTAACGTAGAAGTCACTTCTGGTATTATGGTAATTGATGCAGTATTAATAGGTACTAAATGTACGAATATGGGTACAATGTTATAACAGTATATTTGATATTTATTAAAACTGCATCAACACTGGGTAGCTTTTATACAGACACTGAGAAAAGAGTTTTTTTTGCAAAAGTATAAAGGTAAAATAGTATATAATAGAAAATATAATAGTACATTTGCAATAGTATATTTTTTTAATCTAATAATGTAAAGTCACAGAGAGGGACAAAATATAGTAATAAATTTTTTAAAAGCTTAATTAATTGTGCTTATTATTCTAGCTTAGTTAATTGTGATCATATATGTCTATCAGTTTTGTGCAGAATTTCGTAGTGTTGTTCAGTACTCATATATTGACTGCATGCTTTTTCCACCACTTGCAAAAAAAGGGTATTAAGCGAGCATTTAATGAAATAAGATCAATTAGATCTTTCAAAAACAAACAAAAGTAGTGAGTGCGAATAAAGATTGCCTGAAACATATTCCTCGATGGAAGGGACGCACAATTTACCATATTAAGCGGTAATCCATGTTTCGCCCAGTGAGTCCGAAAGTATATAATTGCACAAAATAGAAATAACAGTCAACATGTTTCAAACACTCAAAAACAGGTGTCTATTTCCAAGACTTGACACATGTAAACGAGAAGAAAAAGTGATTCGAATTGTAAAACGCAAAGTTTCCAATGAAAAATGGAGCCATTTCCATTTTCGTTTTATTTTGCTAATAAGTTTTGTTTCTTTTCATTCAACCTTTCAAATCTGGAAAATGGGCACCTGTTTCAGAGCACTTGAAACATGTCGACTTTAATTTCCAATCTGAACATTTTTAAATCGAAATAAGTTTTTAATCAAGTAATATTTTGCCACTTCAGCCTCTTTGGATTATTTATTTAATGTACAGTTTGTAGTTATGCTTCCCGGTGCATGTTTATGGTACGGTAAATAAGCGTTATATGTAACCAATCCTTCACAGTTGTAGATTCCTGGTTATCTTTGATCCATTCACAGAGCTGTGAAAAGTATGTTTCTTCATCATTAGACATGCGGGTAAGTTAAAAAAGGCCAGAGAGATCAGGCTTATTTTTTTGGTAGCTGAGGTTTTCAATTTGAAAATTAAAGTTACGTTAACTCCATTTTGATTTTTGAGTGATAAATTTGCTTTTGATTATTTTTGCATTCAAAGTGTTTCCAAAATATAAGTAATAAAATGCAGTAGCAGAGTAACACAATATTTATTAACATTTAAATTTTACAATACTTGATAATATCAAATACTATTTTCTTTACTATTACAATTTAGTTTTCTTCTATCAAAGAATAATGAACACAACTTTTAGAAACATAATCTAAATAACAATTATGCAATTTTCCCGGACGCGAATATTCTTAAATAATATTTTTCATTTCAAAATACAAAAAGTTTGTACTTAAAATTCCAGCTTACATCGTTGCAAATTCATTACATGCAATTTAAAATAAAAGTTTTGCAATAGAATAGTCAACAACAGTTTAATTTGAAAAAGTTACAGTTAACAGTTACAGTTAATAACAGTTTTATTTATTATTAATGTTCCTTCTTTGGGAGACAAGTCTTCGAACGTGTTGCCTGAAATAAATTAAACAAACAAAGTTATTCGAATTTAAAAATGCATGTTAAGAAAAAAGAGACATGCTGAGAAAAAATAATTAAGCCTAAACTAATCATGAATCGAATATTATGTTTTAATCTAAGAATTGTTTTCATATCAACTGGTGCAGTAACTTTCCTAAATAACTTAATGAAAAATGAGATACGTTCCGTTGTTTCTGAAATAAAGTAAAAAAGAAATAAAAAGAATAATTCGAGTTTAAAGCATAATAAGAAAAAAGAGACATACTAAGAAAAAGTAACTAAGCCAATAATTTTAAAATCGATGCAAAATATTATGTTTTAATCTCAAAATTTTTTTTCATGTCAACTCATGCAGTGATAATAACTATAATTCTGATTAAAAAAAATTGCAAGATCAAGTTTTTCTTATTGTTTTTCTATAAAGTTGCAAATGTTTATCAAAATCAATCAATCAGTTTCAAAAAGGTTATCTTGAAAATTTGTAAACAATAAGATCAAACATTGTGGCAGTAGTCAGTAGGGAGTCTTTTAAAAACTTGGCATTGATTAAAATAATGGTTGGTACAGTGCAGGAAAAAAAAACGGACCACTTTGAATAACACTTGTTCCAATGATCAGATCTTCATGTTCTAGGTCTCCATCTTACTGGTTCGCGGGGGTGACTTGAAATATGCTAATTAAATAGTGCAGGCTATATTTTAAGTTATGAAAGCAGACACAAATACGTACTTTGTCTGAATAAGCATGTCTTTCTTTTTTGTTTCTGGATTTCCGACCCTCAAAATATAACGGGTAGCTTCAATCTGGGATACAGGGTCCCTACAGTTTGGACAAAAGAATGCTCCAAAATGTTGACTCCTTCATCTTAATTTCACTTCTTGCCTATTTCGCCGTAACACGAAAATCTTTTTAGTCGAATTGAAAATTTTTGCACACAATTATAAAATTCGTTTATTCAAATATAATTCGATGCAAAAAATAAATTTAATATATTTTTCGTTTGCTTTAATTATTTTATTTAATAACAATCAAAACAATTGTGAATAGTAAGGTATGCAGATTTTTTCATCAATTAAAAGTAACTAATTTCAAATGACAGAATACAAAATTTGCACGAAATCGGTTACATAGTTCCTGAGAAGTTGAATTTTTAACCGATTTCTCTCAAATTTTGCATTTTGCAGTGTAAAATTACATAGTTAATTTTACAAGGCAAAATATAGTACTGTGGAAGAAGTATTTAGGTATCCTTTTTGATGAAGGAAACAGTTTTCTTTTCAATTTTTTGCTCAATTAATATATTGTATCTGATTAACTACACACATTGTAGCTCAAACAACACACATTGTATTTGACTCACATGCGAATCAAAATAAATAAAATAGCACTAAAAGGTTTTAAATTGATAAAACATGCCTTACCTTAGATGAAGTTTGCTTCTGACATTCCAATCCATCGATGCAAGGGGCAGGGTCGGTAGGGCGCTGGGCCCATATCCAAGAGATCGTGGGTTCGATCCTCGCCGGCCGAAGACTCCCCGTGTAGTAAATGGTGACTGATGCACGTTAAATCTGTCGAGTCTCAAAGTCCTCCATGTTCCCACAACAAATCAATACCTCTGGGGGTACTGATCCAGGAGTTTCCTTGTCTTCTGGATTGGTTCAAAATTACAAGGCTACGGAGTTGAACGTAAGTAGTCGTTAATCCATGAATTTGGGTCGGCTGTTCAACGACGGTTATAAAATCCATCGATGCAAGGGCATGCTCTCACATATACATAATTAAATGGAGATAGGTCCTCTGTACAAGATTCCCCAACACAAATCACATATTCATAAAAGAATACTAATCCTGTCTTGATTATTATACCTTACAAATTTGAGACATTGTTCTAAAAAAAGGTCATAGCGACACTGTTAGAATTTTCATTTTTAAATTAATATAAAACAACCGGAAGCAGTCTACGTTGAAGAACATATTTTACTTTTAGGTTTTTGAAACAGTTTACAACTAATATGGTTAAAAAACCATGACTACAAAACTATGCTGTTTCTAACCATTTAAAACCAGCATGGTTTTAAAATCATTAAAAATGAAATTAACTTGACATTGGAGTTAGACCTTTTGTTAGGTAATGGACATTGGAAACAGGGTGTGGTTGAGTTGTTTTCTTATAAAATAAAACGTGGAATGTGGTTCAACTATTTAATCTGGTTGTTTCACCTGAGGTGGAAAATGCTGTACTTTTATATGCTAAATAGCTTTATGGTTCTGCCATCTATGCGTTAATGGGAGTATCGTATTCGAATAGTCCATGGTCACAAATTGGGGATAGAGGGATACTGTAAACTCTTCTTGCGTTGCTGGGTGCGGTTACTTCTGGGTGCGTTGCTTCTTGCGTTACGGTATCAACGCTGGGACACGCACTTCCGTTCTGTCGGTTAAGAAATTGACAGATTAGCCCTCTCGGTTATAATATGCACACAGCTACAAGGAACTAAGTGGCTTCATTAGATGGGCCTAGTTGATGCGATAAAATTCTGGTTGTTTAACCGTATTCGTTTAAAGCAGTTAATAAACAGTTTTTCTCATAGTTAACAGTTCCAATACCATCTTATTTATGGATTTTAACTGTTTTGTTTGAATATGGTTATTATGCATTAACTTAAATAAATAAATTGAATAATTTAAACAATTAAATAAATTATTATCTAACTACTTTGTCTTATAAATTTTTTACAGTGGAATAAGAATTTGAGAAAAGCTAAACTTAGGTCGATTTGCAACCAAACAATTAAATCTATTTCAAAAAATATATTTATGTAATAACTGCAAAGCGTTATAAAGTTTTGAAAGAAACTATTACTGTCAGGTACAAATGTAATTACAACTACCGGACTCTATGAAACAGAATACAAAATATTCTTCCTATCACTTTATCTTATTCAAATTATTTACTTAAATGGAAGATCTAACTTAACAACAAATTACTTAATTAATGTGCGAAAATATATTTTATAGTAAATGCTTGCTCTTCTTATTGTCTCTCACGATTCGAACGGACCCGACATTTTTTGTGCAAAAACACCTCCTGAATCCGAATATGACCCCCCTTTTTCTTTATTTAAAAAAAACATTTTCAGAAATCATCACTTACCATGTCAAGAGAAACCATCGTCTTTTTCTGAAGTTCTTTCAATCTATTTAGCCAAAAAAAAAAAATTAAATCGATTTTTTTTAAAAAATATGTACAGATTTAACGTATTTCATATTCTTTAAGAGCTAACTTCCTTCTCTTAACACCTTTGAGGATTTCCTTTTTTTTTTTAAAGGGATACGGCTTCTGTTTTGAGTAGGGGAGAGTGGGGTCAATTGTAACAGGGTACGATTGTAACAGAGCAAAAATTTCGAGTGTCTGGTTCTAGATTTGGTTCCTAGGTGGCGCACAAGGTGTATTTACTAAATATACATGTACATCCCTGCTGGCAACCATTTTTATGTACTTTTGAAAGAGTTACATCATAAAAGATATTTTCAAGCTACATAAGTACATTTTTTGGTGTTAGAATATTATATTGTAACAAATTAATTTTGTTTAAACAAATTCAAATTATTAACCGAATATGTAAGTGGACACCTTAATTGACATTTCAAAAAAAATATATTAGTTTTGTTAATTAACTAGCATTGTTTTTAACAAATGAAGCTGAAATGGCGTCTTGGGGACGATTGTAACAATAAGTAAAGGGACGATTGTAACAGCTGAAAATAAATAATCTTATGTTTACAAACCATTACTTAACTCTTTAAGAACCACCAATAGTTTCCTATATCATTTATATTATGTTGCATGTGCATTATTTTATTTGTCACCTTTCACAGCATAAATTAAAATTTTTAACCCCTTAAAGTTAAAAGTTTAACCCTTTAGGTCTCTGCTCATTATTATTTTTACTCCTAAAATATCACTACTATTTTGATCAATAAAAAAATATATCACAACTATGATAATATGTATAATTAACTATGTTTTAGTTGAATTTATGAACTGTTACAATTGACCCCGTAAGTGGGGACAATTGTAACTAGTGCACGACTGTCAAAAATTGTTAATGACTAATATAATAACATTTAAAATAAGGTATTTAATTTCTTTTTCTAGTAGAGGATAGTCTTCTTTGCTCATCTGTCAATTAATACTAATAATATATTGGATTTTTTGTTAGTTAAAAATAGTTAAGTAAAAAATGTTACAATTGATCCCACTCTCCCCTACTCATCGATAATTCCATCGGAAGTGGCCTTATCTATTCTTCAAGATTCAGCTATGATACACGGTGCGAAAACATGTGGTGTTTATTGGAATTATTCTGTTCAGAAGGTTAAAATGAAAAAAGATTTAGAATGGGAATAAATGTGAATATAAATACTGTAAACTAAGTATAATACACTGGTGTAAGAAATGGGGAGAATTTGCAGATTTGGTTAATTATCTCCAGAACTACTGGACCGATTTCAATGAAATTTGAAATGTGCATACATTGATTCAAAACAAAACAAATAACCATTCAACATTTGTAGTATACACGCGCATGATTATGTGTAACACTCGTTGGAGTCGGAAGGTATGAAATAGCCACAGAAAATGATAAACTGCCTTATTTCAAGTATGAAATCACGCTGCAAGGCTACACCCTAGTGACCCATTTTTTTTTGTCTATTCTACCACCGCTGTTTCATACCTACCGACTCCAACGGGTGCTACGTGTCATCAGGTGTGTGTATTGGAATTGTTGAAAGGCTAATTGATTTGTGTTGTATCAATGTATGTACATATGAAATTTCATTAAAATCGGTTCTGTAATTCTAGATATAATTTACCAAGTCTGCAAATAAAAGGAATAAATAATATAATTTCTGAACTGAAATCTGCTGTATTTCTTAAGATATTTATGATATCAAGTAATTCTGGTGAGTCGGAAGTTACAATAGTTATTTAATGATGTATTGTTAAAAAAAGGTGACATGGTAGCTAGATTTGAAAGGTGAAATATTTGCTACAATATCTACCAATAAGCATTAGGCCACCTATGCAAATGATTATATCTGAGGTCTTGAGATACGTCACACCCTCCGCCGGTATATATCGTGTAGGAAACAACATCGGCATTAGTCCCATGCAAGATGCCATGCAGTTCGGAGCTCTCTGATTTCGAAAAAGGTATAATTATCGGGTATCAAAAAAATGGCCGATCCTTAAGACCGATAGCGAGCACATAGCGAGCTGAATTACCCAAAATCAGCAGTGGGTTATGTGATTAAGACGTGGAAGGTGAGCGATGAGTGTCAGAATATGCCCCGAGTCAAAAGACCAACGAAACTGGGAGATAGAGAACGACTAGTGTTGTCCAAAGAAATTCGGAAGTACCGCACCCAGCCGATGGCCCCCGTACTCCAGGAGTTTCACCAAGCGTCCGGAAGTGTTGTTTCAACTAATACCATCCGTAAGGAAGCACATCTGCATGGTTTTCACGGTCGTGCTGCTGCCCATAAGCTTTTGATCACAAAGTCCAACGGCGCTGCTCGGTTAATGTGGTGCAAAGCACATCGAAATTGGATCGTAGATAAGTGGAAAGCGTTTCTTTTGAACAACAAATCTAGGTTCACCCTCTACCATTCGGATGGCAGGGTCTGGGCCTGGCGTATGTCTGGAGAACGTCTCCTGCCAGAGAGCATTGTGCCAAGAGTCAAGTTTGGTGGTAGTGGAATTATGGTCTGGGGGTGTTTCTCCTGGCATGGATTGGGACCCTTTCATGGTAAGCTCAACGCCGATGCCTACTGCACTATTTTGGATCACAATGTCCTTCCTACGTTGTGGCAGTTTACGGGGTAGACCCCTGTTACTTCTAGGACGACAATGCCAGCTGTCATGTTGCGAGGTTCACCAACGCGTGGTGTGGTGCCAATGGGGTTAATCGAATGGACTGGCCTGCCCAGAGCCCAGACCTGAATCCTATCGAGAACCTCTGGGACGAGTTGGATTGCCGAATTAAGGGGTGAACTACCCGTCCAAAATCGGTAAAGGAACTTACATTTCTTTTCCAAGCCAAGTGGAAGAAAATAGCAACTATGGATTATGAATAAAGTTTGATTTTTTTCTTTTCAATCACACGTGTCTAAATACTTATAGATAGATAGTGTAGTAGGAATTCGATTTTTGGCATCGCTGACTTGGCCTCTTTTTTAATCGCTTATTACTGTTTATTCTCTTTGCAAGCCGGGCACCATCATATGTAAATGTTAGCCTATTGTTCGAGCAGCGAGATTAGGTTCATTTTATAAATTATTATTTAGGTTCAAATTTCAAAGTTAGTATATTGTTGGTACAGAACATCAATACTTGTACGATTGCATATTGAAACTTAGAGGTGTTCAAGCATTCTTTTTTTTTAAAACTCCTCTCTTATTCTTCTCGCATTCAAACAGATTTTGGTGTTTCTCACATGCACCTTCCACAACTGTGATTATCATATTTTGTTTCGCTCGTCTAAATATTTATTTGCATTTCCGAATGTGCCTATTTGTCTTTGTTTTTATAAGGATTCTAAATATATATATTAAGAACGGTTCTTACAGTAAATCAGTATATTAATAAGTAAGAGATATAGTAAAGCTACCTAAATAGGAGTTAGGTAGCACAACATGAGCACAAAAAAAAAACTTGTACCATAATTAAATAAAAATTAAATGAGCTTACCAAGTGTTTGCCTTTTCTGGCAGTAAGTTCCATTTTTACTTTGAGAGCAACATTCCTCCTTAATATTGCAATCTATTTGTCGTTTACAAAACCTTGATGATGTCTGTACCTATGTATATCAAATATTAAATTTTCACTAATTACGAAGATAAAGTAAAAATAATAATTAATTTTTATTAAATTTCACTTTTATGTATTTAATTAGTTTTTAAATTATTTTTTAATTACTTATTTTTTAGGGTAGTGTTAAGTCTCAGAAAAGTTAGTGTCTTGTCAATAAAAATTTTTTTAATCAAATTACAAAGTTCAAACTAATTTAGACTGCAACAAATATAGTTTTCGAGTTTAAATTTAATATAGAGAGTTTTGTAAAAAGATATTTTTAAAAAATGTCTGAAAGAAGTAATATTTTTTAAAAATAATTTTTTTCAAAAAAAATTTAATGAAATAAATAATTTTGTCCATCAAATCTGAATATAAATTCAATTTAAATTAAATTCTGTTGGACAGTTTTAAATTGCAGCAAAATTTTAAAAAATCGACTTAACATTTGAGAACAAATCTTCTAATACCTTGTGCATTTCATTCCTTATCTGACGAATTTTTTATTTTAAAACCTGTTTTTTATGGAGTTGAAATAATGATTATCTTATTTCTTCCATAAGTAATCAATTCATAACAGATCATAAGAGATAGTGTCTCATGCTCCTGAATTTCTCAAACTCATTTCATTCTTCATCATGCTTTTTTTTTAATTTTAAAAATTAATTTTCTTAGAGTTGAAATAATTTGTGTTTCAGTTTTTTTAATACTTAAGTAATAAATAGTATGTTTCATGCTTTTGACGGCTTATCTATTTCATTCTACACATTTCATTTTATCTTTTTATAGATTTGAAATCATGTTCATTTTAATTCTTTCGATACATATCATCTTCGTGCTTCTGATGAATACCATTCTTCATCTTGCATAGATTTTCATTGTGCATTTATAGTTACTTTTCATGAAATTAAAATTCAGCAAATTTTTTGCAATACTGGTCATAAATAATAAATAAAGGATCTCAAGCTTATGAAGCCTTATTCATTTCATTCTACATCAAGCGATTTTTTTAAAAAAAAATATTGTACTTTGTAGAATTGAAATCGTTCGTATCTTAATTTCTCATTATTGATCATTATTAACGAATAGTATGTTATGTTTTTGAGATGTTATGCATTTCTTTCTTAATTTTAGAATTTCTTTTTATTTTAAAAATTATTTTTTATAGAGTTAAAGACACGCTCATTTTAATTCTTCCTTTACTGATCATAAGTATGTAATAGAAAGTTTTAAGCTTCTGATGCATTGTGCATTTTTTTATTTCAATCACTATTGTTAATAGAAACAAAATTTGTATGGTATCTAATCTAGATACCATACAACTTTTGAAAAAATTATTTTAATTTTTCTATTATTAATTATATTACAGTTATTTTTATGCAATGTAAATGATTTAAAGAATTTTAATTTAATTTTGCTTGTCATAAAAATACAAGTTGTATGGTATCTAGATTAGAAATAAGGAATAAATTAGGAGAAAATTAGGAATAACATGACTAAAAAAACCATTGCATTACCCTTACCATTGTAGTAACCTCTTGATTGGTGGATTTAGCTGGGCTTTCCAATTTGTTAGATTTGTAATCTTGATTTTACTTGCGTTAAATTTAGTAACTAAATTAGCAGTTTAAAATATTTTTAAGAAAGTTATGTCGTTTTTTTGGTAAATTGATGATTGCCAAAATGTTTCTTAATTTCGATATTTCAAATTTTTACAAAACATAAATAATTTCAAAAGCTTTGAATAACAAGTATTTACAAATGTAAGGTAATCGATAATAATAGTAATTCTGTAATTAAAAGGGTAAAAACATCTGAAGAATCATCCAATCTATATTACAAAAGATAAAGCCAACAAAGTAAAACCTGACATCCAGTGGTTTATGCTTACTTTTTTTTTCCAACAAAAACTTTTTTTTCAAAGCTAAAAATATTTCGAATACGCAAACTTTCTCATATAATAACGCAAATTGCATTCTAATATCGTTAAGTTCTACAAGTGAACGTAAAAAAAATCGTTACAAATTTCAAAATACTCACCGATACATTTGTCACCAACGTTGCAAAAACCAGAAACAAAAGAAAATCATACTTGTTCATAATTGAAGATTAAAGTTAAATCTAGTTTCTATAGCTCATAAGCCGAAATTTATATCCATATCCTCTCAATCAGAACGTTTCTTACTTAAGGAATTCATGTTTGCAGGATTATTTTTTCCCCTGTTTTTCATCGATTCAATTAACTCATCATATAATTTCCTTCAAGTTTTGACAAATACTTTTCTATCTGGCGAAGTTTATATGTTCATCTGGCAGAACAATTTCCTAGTCTCACGATATCGTAGATTATGCTAAGCTCACGATATTATAGATTTAATGAAATATTTGTACTTTTCTATCTGGCGAAGTTTATATGTTCATCTGGCAGAACAATTTCCTAGTCTCACGATATCGTAGATTATGCTAAGCTCACGATATTATAGATTTAATGAAATATTTGTAAGCTATCTAAAATACGGTATTGTGCAAACTCAAGGTGCACAATTTGCTGTGGGATAATTTTATAGGAAGAAATTATTCCTTGGAAAAAAATTTCGTGACACATTTTAATTTTTTATAAGCTCTTACTCAAGATCGTGGTCTAAACCAGCGGTTCTCAAAAAATATTCCGCCGAATCTGAGGCCTCAGTGAGTTAGGCTTTCTTTTATATTATGACCAATAATTATTTTTGAAACCTTTAATAGTCCAAACCAATTTATTTAACGGTTCATCTACTTTTACGAAATTATTCTTTGATAAAGGAAATGACGAAATTTAAAACAAAAACATCCATAATTACTTCTCTACTTATTCATGCTGTATCACACATCGAATTTATTAAAGTGTAACTTTTTCACGTCTACCTCTTTTACTTAACTTTGATTTATTATTTGTTAATGCATTTTATTGTAACCTTAAAATATTTTTGTTTTTTTATACCTGGCAACTACGATGCATAATTACTTTGTTTATGTCCTACATAGCTTCTAGTCTGTCTTTGTGTTAAAGAAATATATGGGTGATTCTCACAAAATATGACAATTCACTGTCCGTTGCTCCAAGATCAAATAGTACATAACTAAAAGAAATTTTTTTTAAAAGATTGATAAATAGCATTGCTGTTAGCATTTTAAAATGACTTTGCACTACCATTGACTGTTTTGTATAGTTAAAAAATTTAATTGAATTTTAAAATGTCATTTTCCTGGTATGTCCCAAACAATGTTTCCAATAATAATTAGCTTCAAAACTTCCCTTAAATTTTTCAATATCTAATATTTTTATCTCAACCGGTGTAAGCATTTCTAGAATATACGCAGAGGGTATTATTTACAAAAACTTCATTTGAAATAATTTTTTCTGTCAATAATTTGTTTGTCGCAAGAAAATCTGTCATTTTCCTGGCTACTTTTATTTAGCGGTTTATAACCAAAATAGATACAATATCTTATGTTAATAGATTGATTAGATACCCTCCTATTTTAACATGTCTTGTTGCATGAATAAAGAACCAATTTTCTGGTTCAAAATCTATTTCAAAAATTTTTTCAAGAGGAGTAGGTTTTTGTGTTGTCATTTTCCTGGCTTCGGGAAATCATTAATAACATGAAATCCTGTTGTTTTCTGCAGAATATGAACCTTTTAGGTCAAAATATTAAATTACAGTAAAGTTATATGCTATAAAATGGCGAATTTGTCGTTATCCTGGCTGTCATTTTCCTGGTTTATAAATGCCAGAACATTGAAGTGTTACCAGAATTTTTTTTAACTTCTAATACTGTAAGGAGGAAAAGCAAATATTAACCTAATACCAAGTTTATGTATGATTGTAATATGCTTGAGTGTAATCAAAGTTATTCATTTATCTAATGACTGATTATTATACACAATTTTATTTTGTACATATCCGCAACAAAAAATTTTCTGATTCTTTATACAGTGGATAAAAAGAAATAATTTAAGCAATTTTTGGTCCATCTAACATAAAGGCTTAAGTTGAGTTACTTACTATTAACTTAAAATGACTGTTTTTAAAACTCCTCAGCCAATATGTCATTTTCCTGGCATTCAAGATTTGGTGAATTTCTATTTTATTTTTTGTCTCGAGCAAATGTCAATAAACTACACTGCTGCCTGTAAGATCTTAATAAGTGTAACTAAAGAATTATACAAAAAAGTTTTAGATTATTATGAAGACTTTAAATTTGAAGAAATTTTTTGGTCCAAATTGTCAGGTTTATAAAGAATCACCCATGTAGTGAAAGAATTAAAACCTTAGTGAAAGAATCCTTGTGTAAGAATATAGAATGTGTCTCCTAAGAGAATTGATACTTGATATAGAATGGAAAGAACAGTTGCTAACGTAAACAAACACCACGTTTCAATAACCAATCAGGATCATGATAACCAAACTCAGTCAGTTGCTGGCATCCCATTTCGACTATTTTACTACGAATCGCAAGTGTTTTCGACTGTTTTTTCTAAAAAAAAAACAAAAAAAAAGGAAAAAAAAAACGTTGCGTGAAAGTAAATATTAAAAACAGTTAAATTGCTATAAATAAGTTTGCATTAGCAACGTTATCGCCTGCCCGGCGAAAAGGAGTAAAATAAGCTGTATACTAGAAAGAAAAATTAATGAATAAATTGTACTAATTCATTTAAAATATCAAACTATTATAGATGCCAATGATGCTTATTCAATTTTGGCAATAAGTACCATATAAAGTAAAAGAAATATTTACTCTAAAGCAAAATTAATAGAGAAAATGGGCTAAATCGAACTTGAAAAACGTAAAAAATCGTAATGATGCTTTTGATGCTTTAATAATTTTGGTAAAAACTACTAATCGAAACTAAAAATAAACTATGTTAAAAGATATTAATGGAGAAAGATACTAATTCGGTTATGACAAGCCAATGATGCTTAATTTTGGTAATAAGTGCTAAATAAGACTTAAAAAAAAAAATTCTATATACTCTGACAACTAAAAGCTGAGAAATGGCCCTCATTCTTTTAGGAGAATTTAAAAAAAAAAGATATTTTCTGGTTAGCCGAACGCAAGGCAAAAGTCACCAGTAAATGAAGACATCCCCCAACCTTTTATTTTATTTTAATTTATTTTTTATGCACTTGAAATTCAATTTAAAGGAAAACATAACATTTAGCTTAAAATTCCTTGCGTCCCCCAACCGAAAAATACCAAAATAAAAAATTACCACATTTATTATTGATGCTAATAATGCTAAATTAATTTTAGTATTAGTCCCTCCTGGTATTATGGTAATTAATGCAGTTTTAACTGTTACTCAATATGCGAATATGGATACAATATTTCATTAGTACATTTGATACCTATTAAAACTGCATCAATACCGAGAAGTTTTTATACAGACACCATGAAAAGAAGTGTTTTTTTACGGTAGTATGAAGGGATAAGTACTAAATAAAATCATGTGATTTCCGTAAAATAAGACCATCATGAGATGACATCGAGCAACGGCATCATGCTAAATGATTCTGAATAAAATTAATCTTAATTTTACTGAAATAAGCTACTAAAATCATACTTTGTTAATCTTATAACGTAAAGCCACCGAGAGGGACAAAATATAGTAATTCTTTTTTTATTTTAAAAAAAATGAAATTATTTTATATTTATTAATTGTGTTCACATATGTCTACCAGATTTGTGCAGGATTTCGTAGTGTTGTTCACTAGTTATATATTGACTGCTTATTTTTTCCACCACTTGCAAAGAAAGGATATTAAGCTAGCATTTAATAAAATAAGAACAATTAGATCTTTTAAAAAGCGAACAAAAGTAGTGAGTGCGAATAAAGATTGCCTGAAATATATTCCTCGAAGGAATTATTTACCATATTAAGCGGTTATCCATGTTTCGCCCAGTGCGTCCGAAAGTATATAGTTGCACAAATTAAAAATGACAGTTGACATGTTTCAAACACTCAAAAACAGATGTCTATTTCCATGGCTTGACAGACGTAAACAAGAAGAAACGAAAGTGGTTCGAATTATAAAATGTGAAGTTTCCAAAGAAAAATGGAATCATTTCCAATTTTTGTTGGTAACTTTAAGCTTTACGTTTCAAATAAGTTTTGTTTCTTTTCATTGTTTGTTTGTTTCTTTTTTTGTTTCTGTTAAGTCTGGAAAATTGGCATCTGTTTCACAGCCCTCGAAACATGTTGACTGTTATTTCCAATCTGTACATTTTTAAATCGAAATAAGTTTTATATCAAGTGCCATTTTACCACTTCAGCTTCTTGGGATTATTTATTTAATGTACAGTTTGTATACACTTCCCAGTGAACGTTTATGGTACGGTAAATAAACGTTATATGCAACCAAACCTTCGCAGTTTTAATTTCCTGCTAATCTTTGATTCCCAGAGTTGTGAAAAGTATGTTTCTTCATCATTTCTTCATCAAGTTAAGAAAGGCTAGAGAGGTAAGGCTTATTTTTTTGATGGTTGATGCTTTCAATTTGAAAATTAAAGTTAACTCCATTTTGATTTTTAAATTATAAATTTGCTTTTGATTATTTTTGCATTCAAAGTGTTTTCAAATATTTTAGTAATAAAATGCAGTAACAGAGTAAAACAATATTTATTAGCATTTAAATTTTACAATACTTGATAATGTCAAATACTATTTTCTTTAATATTACAATTCAGGTTTCTTCTATGAATCAGTAATGATCAACTTTGAAAAACATAATCTAAATAACAATTATGCAATTTTCCCGGACATGAATAGCATTAAATAATATTTTTCATTTAAAAATACAAAAAGGTTTCCACTTAAAATTCCAGCTTACATCGTTGCAAATCCATTACATGCAATTTAATTTAAAAATCATGGCAATAGAATAGTCAACAACAGTTTAATTTGCCAAAGTTACAGTTAACAGTTACAGTTACGGTCAATTAACAGTTTTATATATTACTAAGATTCTCTTTACGGGAACATTTCGGCAAATTTCCTGTCTGAAATCAAATAAACAAAAAAAGTAATTCGAATTAAAAATGCATAGTAAGAAAAAAGAGACATGCAAAGAAAAACTAACTAAGCCTAAACTAATTATAAATCATATATTGTGTTTTAATCTTAGAATTTTTTTCATATCAATTTGTTCAGTAACTTTCCTGAATAATTTAATGAAAAAATAATATAACATTCTGTGGTTTCTGCAATAAAGTAAAAAAAAGAAAAATAATTCGAATTAATTGCATAATAAGAAAAAAAAGACATAATAAGAACTAATTAAGCCCATATTATGAAATCGATACAATATGCTATATTTTAATCTTAGAATTGTTTTCCTATCATCTTGTGCAGTAACTTTCCTGAATAATAATTTAATAAAAAATAAGTAACGTTCTGTTGTTTCTGAAATAAAGTTAAAAAAAAGAATTCGACTTTAAAGCATAATAAGAAAAGAGAGACGTACTAAGAAAGAGTAATTAAGTCAATAATTTTAAAATGGAAGCAAAATATTATGTTTTCTTTTCAGAATTTTTTTCATCTCAACTCATGCAGTGATCATAACTATAATTCTGATTAAAAAAAATTGCAAACTCAATTTTTTCTTATTGTTTTTCTAAAAAGTTGTAATCCTTATCAAAATCCATCAATCAGTTTCAAAAAAGATATCTTGAAAATTTACAATCAATGAAATCAAACATTGTCAGTAGGGAGTCTTTAAAAAACTTGTCATTGGTTAAAATAATGGTTGGTAAAGTGCAAGAAAATAAAAACGGACCACACTGAATAACACTTGTTCCACTGATCAGATCTTCATGTTCTAGGTCTCTATCTTAATGGTTCACAAGGGTGAACTCAAATATGTTAATAAATTAGTGCAGGCGATATTTTAAGTTATGAAATCAGACACAAAAACGTGCTTTCTCTGAATAAACGAGCCTATTTTTTGTTTTGATTTTTTGTTTCTGGACTTGGATTTCTGGCCCTCAAAATATGACGGGTAGCTTCAATCTGGGAAATAGGGTCCATGTAGTTTGGTCAAGAGAGAGGTCCAAATTTTGAACTCCTTAATCTTAATTTTACTTCTTTAGTATTTCGCCGTAACACTAAAACTTTTTAATTGAATTGAAAAGTTTTTCCACACAATTATAAAATTCGTTTATACAAACATAATGCCATGTAAAAAATAAATTTTAATAAATACAGTCAAACCCCGCTATAGTGAACCTTCAAGTAGCCGAAATTTCGGTTCACTATAACCGGGAGTTCACTATATCCGTTACGCAGGCAATTTAACTAATGGTTCCCAAACTCCTCCCTTTTATTACATATTATTAAAATAAATGACTGAAAAATATTACGTAGTAGCAAAAAGTGCGCAATTTTTCATTACTCTTCGTTTTTCGTACAAAAAAAAATTAGTAATCTTTAGCTAATGAGCAATCCTCAACATCAGATATGGATACGCTTCCAGACTCTCAGATAATTTTTCCTGAATTTCTGTTATTCCGCTTTTTAAACTAGTCTAATCTGCCATTCGAGCACATAAAAGTAGTCTCATAAAATCGCTTAGCAAATTCATCGACATTTGTCCAGATACTGGAAGATTGCGGCTTCTTCGATTGGTGAACCACTTCAGTAATGCTTCTTCAACATCCTTGTGATCTGCTTTTCTCAACTTTTTTCTGCCATCTAAATTTTTTTCATGAGCAGAAATTATTAATTGCCTATTTTTCCATATGTTACAAACTGCAGATTTGGATAGTTTATATTCCCTGCAAATATCAGCTTGATTGCATCGATTTTCAATTTTTCTGATTATGCCCATTTAATCATCAATGGAGAACGTTTTGCGTTTACTACTCGCCATAGTTAAATTTGAGACACTTGTTTGCAGGATTTTTTATAACTGAACAGAGAGAAAAAAGGAGCAGAAATGAGGGCCTTATCAGCACATATTAGTGTCCAACCCTTTGAACAATAATGAATAATTACTCATTCCCTCTGACAAAAAATGCATATTGATCCCACTGACACCTAACAGGTACATCATCTGCCTGGGTTGGAAACATCTGCTTGGTTTGTTTAGGGATGGGAAAGTGAGATAAAAGAAGCAAACAAGAAATGCTTATCGCTGCATTCCCCTCTATAGATGGTTTTACAAATTGGTATATCTATTTATTTCGAAGTAGAAATTTCAAAATTATTACAAAAAAAATGAGAAAAAAAATCAGTCGAAGACAGAAAAAATTTCATTATATCCAACTTCCTCACTCCTCACTTTTTTGGTTCACTATATCCACAAAAAAATAACATTATACGTGCATAGCAAGGCACAGAACCGAACATTTCGTTCACTATATCCGGGAGTTCACTATAAATCGCGTTCACTATAGCGGAGTTTGACTGTATTTCGTATTTGTCATTATTTTGTTCAATAACAGTAAAAAAAATTGAATTGTAAGGTATACGGATTTTTACATCAATTAAAAATTTCAAATGACAAAATACAAAATTTGAGCGAAATCGGTTTCATAGTTCCTGAGAAGTCGAACTTTTAACCGATTTCTCTCAAATTTTGCATTTTACAGTGTAAAATTATGTAGTTAATTTTACAAGGCAATATATGGTATTGTGGAAGAAGTATTTAGCTATCCTTTTTGATGAAGGAAACAGTTTTCCTTTTAATTTTCTGCTCAATTAATACATTGTATCTGATTAACTACACACATTGTAGCTCAAACTACACACATTGTACCTGACTAACATGCAAATCAAAAGAAATAAAATAACACCAAAAGGTTTTAAATTGATTAAGCATGCCTTACCTCAGTTCGTTTTCGACATTCCAATCCATCGTTGCAAGGGCATACTCGATTATATATACCATTAAATCGAGGTAGGTCCTTAGAACAAGATTCCCCTACACAAATTACAAATTCATAAGAGAATACTAATCCTGTCTTACTTAATATAATTGACAAATTTGAGATAATTGTTCTAAAAAAAGTCATAGCGACACTGTTAGAATTTTCATTTTAAAATTAATACAAAATGACCGAAAGCAGTCTACGTTGAAGAACATATTTTACTTTTAGACTTTTGAAACCTTTAACAACTAATATAGTTAAAAAAAACATGACTACACAGCTGTGCAGTTTTCAATCATTTACAACCAGCATGGTTTGAAAATCATAACAAAAGTATTTAACTTGATATTTGAGTTAGACCATTCGTTAAGTAATGGGTATTATATGCAGGTTGTGGTTGAGTTGTTTTCTTATGAAATTGTTGAGGAAAAACTGTAATTGCATTTATTTGGATCAGTTTTCTTCTACGTCCGCATGTTATCAGAATGTTCTGATTGGCCGTTAACTTTTGAGCCCAAGAAGGCTATAAATACCAGTAACTTTGTTTATTCGATGTTCATTCCTATTTCTCCTGTCCCAGTGTATGTTCCAACTGTGTAACTCTCTGTGTTCTAATAAACATGTCTTTCTCCGATCCACTGATCTCTGAATTTCATTACATCAACAGCAGAGCATGGTTCCAAAACACTGTTTAGCTTATCTCTAAAAAGTAGCGGCAGAATAAAAGTAATTCAGGACTTTTTATTGCTCGTTGACTTTCATTGCTCATTTTGCTTATTCAAGCAATGGCATACATACTGTATAAAGAGCAGTTCGGTGTTGTTCCCTTTGATGGTACTAATTTTCCGATGTGGCGTAGACGTGTAGAAGCCATATTTTCTACAAAAGAATTAGAGATGTTTTTAGAAAAAGAATCCGACCCATCCAGAGAAAGTGAGGTCGTAAAGTCAAAGAAAGCATATACCATGCTGATTTCCTTATTGAATGATCTAGTCCTTGCCGCCCTTCCTAGTGAGAAGTCGGCTGCAACTGTATGGAAAAAGCTCTACTCAATTTATGAGGCGAAGGGTGCTGTCTGTCAAATACTCACACGGAAGCGCCTAGCTACGATGCCGAAGAGCCAAGATGTTTCCATGAGACAACAAGCTCGTTATGATCTGCGAATCTCCGGTGCTGAGGTGAGCAATTTAGACACAATTGTTTACCTTTTGATGTCCCTGCCACAGGAATATGAGAATGTTAAAGTTGCTTTAGAGAATCAAACCGAATGAAAGTCTCTCCTTGGAATTTGTTTCTCAAAGACTGATAGGCGCTGAGGCTTTGTTGCTTGATTTCAAAGGGATAAATAAAAATAAAAAGGATAAGTTTCTTTCGGAAAATGTGACTTTTTCGCTGAAATCCCCTGAAAATTCAAATAAACTCTGTGACTTTTTTTGTTCATTTTGCAAGCGTAAAGGACACACAGCCAAATATTGTCTTAAAAGGATTACCTGTTTTAATTGTGGAAAAACAGGTCATATGAAGAGAGACTGCAAAAATTTTAAACAGAATGAAAGCAGCTCATCCGCAGCATTTTCTTTTGTCATTGGAGATGTCAGTTGTTACAAGTTCATCATTGATTCGGGAGCAACATCACGCATATGATCGCATAGGGAATGGTTCTCGTCTCTTAAACCAATGCCCGGAACAGTGAAATATGCGTCGAAATCTTCCACTCTCAATATCGAAGGAATTGGAGAAATTAAAGGTAAAATTTCAACTGGAGTTGAAATAACCCTTAAAAATGTCCTCTTTGTTCCAGATTTAAATTGCGAGCTTATTTCTGTGCGAAATATTGAAGCAGCAGGCTTCAGTGCAGTGTTACATTTAAACGTGAAAAAGTGTACATTGAAAGTTCAGGAAAAAGCATCCCTTTTAGATATCGTGATAAAAGTGAACAATATGTTAGTGAATTTTTGCCACAGCGTGAAATTGCCCTGCTGACCACTGCCTGCAAAGATGGGATCACCTGTTCCAACATCCTTCTGTGAAATCTGTGTACGTGCCAAACAGAATGCTGGCCCGATAGGAAAAGGTCCAAGAAAACGAAAAGATAAACCTATGGTTATGATTCATACTGATGTTTTTGGTCCCATTGAACCCAAAACACATGCAGGTGAGCGATACTTTATGTCTCTTATCGATAATCATTCGCGTTTTATGGAGGTGCGACTACTCAAAAGTAAAAGTGATGTAAATAAAGAATTAAAATGTCTTCTAAAGACTGATCCGTCCGTCCGTAAGCTACGATGTGATAATGCTAAGGAATATTTATCTAATGATATAATGAATTTTGCAACAGAAACTAGAATTTTAATTGATCAAGCGCCTCCTTATACGCAATCTTTAAATGTTGCTGCAGAACGGGCGAATAGAACTCTATTAGATAAAGGGCGGGCAATGCTGATGGAATCAAATCTTCCAAATCAGTTTTGGGGTGAAGCAGTTCGTGCTGCATTTTACGTAACAAATAGATTGCCGAATAGCTCACTTAACAACGATGTGCCTTTTAATTTAAAATACGGATGTCATCCTGATTTATCCAACATAAAAGTGTTTGGCTGTGATGCATTTATGCTCGTACCACCATCGTACAAAGAAAGAAATTGGATGATAAATCCATAAAATGTTATTCATAGGATATTCCACTATGGAATACCGCCTAATGAATCCCGTTACAAAAGATGTAACAGTATTGCGAAACGTGAAATTCAATGAAGGTAAAGTGATCTACGAAAAATATGTGAGCAACAATTCAGATTCTAGTGTTACCGAAAAAGAAAGTGATCATTCCGAGAAAGAAGAAACAGTTCGTATATCCAAGCGGGGTAAAAGACCCCCAGTAAGATACCCCAAACCTGAGACATTCGCTATGCTCACTCTCTACGGCACGTTGAACTATGATGACATCGCATCCCTCCCCCCACAAGAACAACAGTTGTGGCAGGGAGCTATGGACGAGGAAATGGAAAGCATGAGAGTTAAACTAAGTTTGGGAATTAACTGAACTTCCACCTGGAAGAAAAACTATAAACTGTAAATGGGTGTTACGAATAAAAAGGGACGGTAAGTACAAGGCAAGGCTTGTTGCCTTGGGGTACACGCAGAAGGAATGTATAGATTACAAAGAAACGTTCTCTCCTGTTGTAAGTTTATCTGGATTACGCATATTGCTTGTTATTGCTTTAAATGAGATCATGAATTTTTATACATTAGATGTTAAATGTGCTTTCTTAAATGGTGAGTTAGATGAAACTATTTATATGGAACAACGGAAAGGTTATAATGATTACAGTAATAAGATATGTAAGCTTAATAAGAGTTTGTATGGCTTAAAACAATCACCACGCCAATGGTTTAAAAGATTTCTTGATTTTATTCTAAAATTAAATTTCAAATAGTTTGTTAATGAACCACGCATATTTGAAAGAAATTCTACTAATGGGAGAATTTTGATAGCTTTGTATGTAGATCATCTTTTAATTGCAAGGTCGAATGATACTGAAGTAAACACTATAATTTCTTTAATATCTAATGAATTTAGAATGTCGAAATCAGAGAAAAATGTCTGAATTCTTAGGTATCGATGTTGAATTAAATTCTAATGGAATGTTGTTAAATCAAGAATCATATATAGTGAAATTGCTTGATAAATTTACCATGTCTGAGTGCAAACCTTACGAATTGAACCCAAATCAACATCTGCTACTTTGATGACAGGAGACGCATTTGTAAGTCCATATCGCGAATTAATTGGTTCTTTATTATACTTAGCATATGTTTCTAGACCTGATATTTAATTTACAGTTAATTGAGTCAGTCAAATTCAGAAAATCCTACTCGTGTAGCTTGGTGTGCTTTAAAGAAAGTGTTGAGATATTTGAAGGGAACTCAAGCTTTTAAAATTGAGTATAAAAGAAACTTTACAAAAGAATCTAATTTGCAGATTGGGGATCAAATCCAAGAGATAGAAAATCTATAACTGGTCATGTAATTATGTATTGTAATAATCCTATTTTGTGTCATTGTAATAAAAAAAAATTGTATAGCACTTTCTTCAACAGAGGCAGAAGTACAGGGTAACAAAAAAGTATAGGGATCACTTTTGTGGTTATCTACCACTAAAGTTTTAAAACCTTTTCACATATATAGCATACTGATCTAAAGCTCTGCTATTAGACTTTCAGTTGCAATATTATTTCATAAAATCACAAAAATGCCTATGAAGAAATTTGACATAAAGCTAATTGGTCAAGTACAAGCATTTTTAGAACTTCGATGGAGCCACAGGATTATACAAACCCATTTTAAAAAGAAAGGTATTGCGATTTCACTCAGCCATATCAGTCGCATCAAGAATTCAAAACTCGGATCGATGTAAAATAATACAAAACCAAAAAGAAGCGAACGGCCAAGCAAATTGAAGAAATCAGATTTGCAGAAGCTTGATAAGATGACATCAAAACCAGATCCACCAACACAGGCAAGCATGACTAAAGCTCTTAACGTGAGTCAGCAAGTTGTAAGCTATCAACTAAAACAAAAGTTGAAGAAAAAATGCCATAAAAAACCTAAATGTCATCATTTAAGTGAGAGATCGGTGCAGATTAGGAGGCAACG